TCGAGTCGCCAAACTTTCAAAATCTGAATGTCAAATGTCAAAATATTTGAATGTCAAATGTCGTGTGTCGAGCCACGAAACATTCAAAATCTGTATCGTACGTCGTATGCCGAGCTGCTCAACTCAACATTAAATATCTGACTGTCGAATGTCGTATGCGGTGCCGCCCTACATTCAAAATCTGAATGTAGAATGTCGTATTTCGAATCGCCAAACTTTCAAAATCTGAATGTCGAATGTAAAAATATTTGAATTTCAAATGTCGTGTGTCGAGCCACGAAACATTTAAAATCTGAATCGTATGTCGTATGTCGTGCTTAGAAACATTCAAAATATGACTGTCGAATGTTGAACCGCCCTACATCCAAAATCTGAATGTCCAGTGTCGTATTTCGAGTCGTCAAACTTTCAAAATCTGAATTTCGAATATCAAAAAATTTGAATGTCGAATGTCGCATGTCGTGCCGCGAAACATTCAAAATCTGAATGTCGAATGTCGTATGTCGAACCACTCTACATTCAAAATCTGAATGTCGTATTTTGAGTCGCCACACTTTTAAAATCTGAATTTCGAATATCAAAAAATTTGAATGTCGAATGTCGTATGTCGAGCCGCGAAACATTCAAAATCTGAAGGTCGAATGACGTCTGTCTATTGAGCCAACTTCGCGCATCTGGTTCAGCAACCTACAATATATATGTTGATGTATTTCTATTGCTATTTACTGACTTAAAATGTATCACGAATAAACGAGATATGCTGTTCCCCAACAGCTCTATTTAACAGTAAAAGCAAATAGAATTTTGTTCATCAATACTCCATTTAGTAAACTAACATATACTTGCAATCATTAAATTTGTTTTTAATTAGCTTTATATTCTACTCGAGAATGACAACTGTATATAGAAAGGAGAAAGGAAGGAGGTGCAAGTCCGTTATACAACGTATGTATTTACCAAAAAAGTTCCCATACATCTTTCATTCAGTTCTAACTTCGTCATATATCTCTAGTTAAGGTGGCTCCACACATCGTCATCAGCGTCCATTTTCGTGACGTACTTCCGGAAAAAGTACAGCTCGGACTCAATTGTCTTGATCGAAATGTGCATGTACACCGTGTCGTCATTTCCGTATTGCATTCGTTTACACGGTCAAACCAATCGGACCACTGTTGTTCGTTTATTAAATAAGGTCGGACCTAGTAAGCTGATGCTGCTTTCAGGCGAGCCTTGAGAAAGCCTTGAAAGGCCTGCATACACATTTGTTACATTTATAAACGGCCAAACCGGTTGTTCCGCATAAACGAACAGGCCCCCTTTTAAACAACAGTACACGTGCGTGCCGATGATATGTCAACACCCGATATCGAGATTTTACAGGGAAATAACAGACTCACGGGAAGACAGTGACATGAGACCAGACGACCTCAAGAAGGTCATATAGGAAACACATGGAATGCGGACGTGCTTATACGAGTTCATAAGCTCGAGGTCGTTACGATTTTCGCTGTTGAGGGAGTTTCGCTCTGTCGATTAAATCGTGTTTACAACTGTAGTCTACTTACTCTGTGAAAATAATGTTTGTAAAATATCAAGATACCTATGAAATGCATGTGTGAGTGCACGTGAGAACGGCATACCATGCGATAGCCTCTGGTCACATGTAATTATAAATATACCGTGAGTTAGCGGACTGTGGAATGATGTCCAAAGTGTACATGACTGAGAGTAATTTTGGTTCCATTAAAGAACAATAAATTGATAATTTTGATATCATATTTTTGATTTATTTCCATCATTTTTGTTATATGTAAACAGAGACAACTGTCATTGTGTAAATGTCATCTCTCTGCAAAAAGTTCCGATTTTTTTCAAGGAAGATAACTCTCACCCGGATCAAAGTGATTGTAAAATGTAAAATACATAAAATATAAAGCCATTGTGTATATTTTGTTCAATTTCCCATTCTATATGTATAGATCTTTATGTCCTGTTTGCTTTTAGCTTGTAGATAATCACTTTTATCCGTACAAATTCAATAAAAACACTTTGTGTAACATGTGTTACATATTTTGCGATAAATAAAATATTTGTAGGGTTAATTAGAAATGCTTCTTTTCATTTTATTATTGTTGTTATTGTTCCCAAAACCATTATATGAAAGTTTCAACGAATTTTGCTTGTTAATTGCGAAAGTGTGGAGCCACCTTAGCTACATATCAGTCTATATGGCAATTAGTTCATTTGAAGCGGTGATATGCAATCTTCATGGTTTTACTTTAACATATACAGAGCGTCGAGATAACGTAATTCGACTGACGAGTTAAGAAAAAAAATGTGGATATTGATTTATAAACTATTTTGCAGGTGCTAGTAAAGAAAACCCAGAGTCTGGCAGCATCTTTTCAGCGCGGATCCAGTAATTTGAAGTGATGATTATAACTTGTTATTAAGCGATGTATACTTATCGGACAAACGGCGCATCACATGATAGGGAATCACAATAGAGTGTGCGCCAAGGACGAAACATCCGTCTAGAATAGTGCCAGGGGTAATAAGATATATTACATTGAGGTTTGTACTAGATATATTACATTGAGGTTCGTACTAGATATATTACATTGAGGTAGGTACTAGATATATAACATTGAGGTAGGTACTAGATATATTACATTGAAGTTTGTACTATATATATTACATTGAGGTAGGTACTAGATATATTACATTGAGGTTTGTACTAGACATATTACATTGATGTTTGTACAAGATATATTACATTGAGGTATGTACTAGATATATTACATTGAGGTATGTACTAGATATATAACATGGAGGTAGGTACTAGATATATTACATTGAGGTTTGTACTAGATATATTACATTGAGGTAGGTACTATATATGTTACATTGAGGTAGGTACTATATATGTTACATTGAGGTAGGTACTAGATATATTACATTGAGGGTTGTACTAGATATATTACATTGAGGTAGGTACTATATATGTTACATTGAGGTAGGCACTAGATATATTACATTGATGTTTGAACTAGATATATTACATTGAGGTAGGTACTATATATGTTACATTGAGGTAGTCACTAGATATATTACATTGAGGTAGGTACTAGATATATTCCATTGAGGGTTGTACTAGATATATTACATTGAGGTAGGTACTAGATATATTAAATTGAGGTTTGTACTAGATATATTACATTGAGGTAGGTACTAGATATATTTCATTGAGGTTTGTACTAGACATATAACATTGATGTTTGTACTAGATATATTACATTGAGGTATGTACTAGATATATTACATTGAGGTAGGTACTAGATATATAACATTGAGGTAGGTACTAGATATATAACATTGAGGTAGGTACTATATATATTACATTGAGATAGGTACTAGATATATTACATTGAGGTATGTACTAGATATATTACATTGAGGTTTGTACTAGATATATTACATTGAGGTAGGTACTATATATGTTACATTGAGGTAGGTACTAGACATATTACATTGAGGTAGGCACTAGATATATTACATTGAGGTAGGTACTATATATGTTACATTGAGGTAGGCACTAGATTTATTACATTGAGGTTTGTACTAGATAAATTACATTGAGGTAGGTACTATATTTGTTACATTGAGGTAGGTACTAGATATATTACATTGAGGTTTGTACTAGATTTTAATACATCGAGGTAGGTACTATATATGTTACATTGAGGTAGGTACTATATATGTTACATTGAGGTAGGTACTATATTTGTTACATTGAGGTAGGTACTAGATATATTACATTGAGGTTTGTACTAGATATATTACATTGAGGTTTGTACTATATATGTTACATTGAGGTAGGTACTATATATATTACATTGAGGTAGGTACTAGATATATTACATTGAGGTTTGTACAGATATATTACATTGAGGTAGGTACTAGATATATTACATTGAGGTTTGTAATAGAAATATTACATTGATGTTTGTACTAGATTTTTACATTGAGGTAGGTACTAGATATATTACATTGAGGTTTGTACTAGATATATTACATTGAGGTTTGTACTAGACATATTACATTGATGTTTGTACTAGATTTTTACATTGAGGTAGGTACTAGATATATTACGTTTAGGTATGTACAAGATATATTTCATATACGTTGAGGTTTGGTTTGGTTTGGTTTATTATTATTTAACGTCCTATCAACAGCTAAGTTCATTTAAGGACGGCTTCCCCTGTGTGCAAGATGCATGCGTGTAGTGTATGCGCGTGTGTTTTGGGAGGCTGCGATATGTTCGTGTAACTGTTTGTCTCCTTGTGATAGCGCGGAACTGATGCCGACTTTATAGTGCTACCCCACTGAAACGTACTGCCGAAGACACCCAGCAGGACGTTGTGTAGCTACTAGATAGATTACATATACGTTGAGGTAGACCTACTTGATACGCTTTAATGAACCTATATTGTAGGTACTAGCGTCGACGTCGTCTCTTTTAGTACCTGTGTACTACGGATTGAACTAGATATGTTAAATAGTTTTTTTCAAGTGTAATATTTTATTTCATTGAGGTAGGTATTAAGTTACTAGATATATGTTACATTAATGTAGGTGCCAGATATATTATCATCGGAATGCTTAGATTTTCATAAAATCATATCTACATAATGACATAAACATTAATTGCGAAATGGTGGAGCCTCCTTCAATATTAAATATTCAAGTTCAACACGTTGACTTTGACAAAGTTTTTTTTTTTTTTTTTTTTTTAACGTTTTATATAAAATCTACATATAAAAAAGTCATCTGATATAGAATCTATTTTGTTTTCAAATTCCATTTTAGAGACTAAACAGTTAGGTTTACCATCTTCGACATTAGTATCTGAACTAGAGTCGGACTGTGTCGATTCATAATCCGTCAAGCAAACAGTTCGCACCGGATATGCTATGACATCATGCACGTGCAGAGAAAAATTGATATCAGAACGTAGGCCTAACGGGAGGGTCTGTCAGATACGGGTGGACGAAAGGATTGCACTGAAGATCTGTTCTCAAAAAGAAGACCGGGATACAAGGGGATACTAGCTATAGTTTACAGGTAATAATCATAACCATGAATTTGCAAGATCAGAATAGATAAACATCCACGGGGATTCATTTCGGAGCCTATCGCGGATCGGTCGAATCTGTTGAAATCAGCGACGACTGTGATACACATGTTTACAGTCTATCAATAGTCACTTGATTGAAAGTGATGATCGATTATGAACTTACAAGCGATTCCCAACACTAGTAATGAGGTCAAATGTCAACTTTAAGTGCTAGTCGGGGTCAAATGTCAACATGGGTTAAAAGCTTTAACAATATTCTTCTCAAGTTCCATAAGACCCAGGGTAATGATATTTGGCCATTAGGTACATGGGATGGAGTGCTATAAAGTTTCCTCATTAAAATGACCTTGACCTAGTTTCAAGGTCACAGGGGTCAAATATGTTCAAAAATTCAAACAACAATATCCTAAGAACCATTTGGACTATAGAGTCATGATACTTGAGTATGTTATGTAGACCCACAGTGCGAATCATTTTCTTAATCACAGTAATGAGGTCAAATGTCAACTTTGAGTGCTACCCGGAGTCGAACGTCAACGTGGGTTAAAAGCTTTAAAATTACAATTTCAAATTTCAAACAACAAAATTTTGAGAAGCGTTTAAGAGATGTTAAAATGTCTTGTGTTCTAGTTACCAAATTTGGTCTGAAGTTACCTATATGTCAGTTTCATGTAGCAAAAGAACCAGGTGAGTGATACAGGCCCTCCTGGCCTCTTGTTATATTTATTTAGTTATAATATAGAATCTGTTATTATTTTTTTTCTGCTGTCTTATATCGGTTTTGGTTGATGGTAAGTTATTTCTCATTTTGTTCTGTTTAAAATTGGTGAAAATTGGAAAGTTCATTGCATTACAAGGTTTACGTTTCATTGAAAACACTGTTTATCAATATAAGAACGTCTCCTTGGCTCTTCGGGAGAAAAACGGCGAGGAGATGTGGCCTCATTTGCATACGACATTTTCGTACGTTTGTTAGACTACAAAAAAGACTGTTTCATGAATGAAATATATCAGTGCTTTTTCAGGTATGGGTTCATTTTGAGCAAGATAAAAAGTGCATTAAGCAAAACTGCATATTTATGCGTGTTTTTTAATCCGTGAGTACATAACCCTTCCTCAGAACCTACCTCCGACCCCGTGTCTACCTCCTCCCAAAAAACCTATCCCTTTTTCAGAACCTACCTACTTACCCTGTGTCTACCTCCTCCCAAAGTACCTAACCCTTCATCAGAACCTACCTCCTACACCGTGTCTACCTCTTCCGAAAGAACCTATCCCTTTCTCCGAACCTACCTCCTACCCCGTGTCTACCTCCTCCCAAAGAACCTATTCCTGCCTCAGAACCTACCTCCTACCATGTGTCTACTTCCGTCCAAAGAGACTATCCCTTCTTCATGAAGAACCTACCTCCTACCCTGTGTCTACCTCCCTTCAAAGTACCGATCCCTTCCCCAGAACCTACCTCCTACAGCGTGTCTACCTCCTCCCAAAGAACCTATCCCTTCCTCAGAACCTACCTACTTACCTCTTGTCTACCTCCTACCCTGTGACTACCTCCTCCCAAAGAACCTAACCCTTCTTCAGAACCTACCTCCTACCCCGTGTATACCTCCTCACAAAGTACCAATCCCTTCCTCAGAACCTACGTCCTACCCTGTGTCTACCTCCTCCCAAAAAACCTATCCCTTTCTCAGAACCTACCTCCTACTCTGTGTCTACTTCCTCCCAAAGAGACTATCCCTTCTTCAGAACCTACCTCCTACCCTGTGTCTACCTCCCTTCAAAGTACCAATCCCTTCCCAAGAACCTACCTCCTACCCTGTGTCTACCTCCTCCAAAAGAACCTTTCCCTTCCTCAGAACCTACCTCCTACCCCGTGTATACCTCCTCACAAAGTACCAATCCCTTCCTCAGAACCTACCTCCTACCCTGTGTCTACCTCCTCCCAAAGAACCTATCCCTTTCTACGAACCTAACTCCTACCTTGTGTCTACTTCCATCCAAAGAGACTATCCCTTCTTCAGAACCTACCTCCTACCCCGTGTATACCTCCTCACAAAGTACCTATCCCTTCCTCAGAACCTACGTCCTACCCTGTGTCTACCTCTTCCCAAAGAACCTATCCCTTTCTCAGAACCTACCTCCTACCCCGTGTATACCTCCTCACAAAGTACCTATCCCTTCCTCAGAACCTACCTCCTACCCTGTGTCTACCTCTTCCCAAAGAACCTATCCCTTCCTCAGAACCTACCTCCTACCCTGTGTCTACTTCCGTCCAAAGAGACTATCCCTTCTTCAGAACCTACCTCCTACCCTGTGTCTACCTCCCTTCAAAGTACCGATCCCTTCCCCAGAACCTACCTCCTACCCTGTGTCTACCTCCTCCCAAAGAACCTATCCCTTTCTCAGAACCTACCTCCTACCCTGTGTCTACTTCCTCCCAAAGAGACGATCCTTTCTACTGAACCTACCTCCTGCCCTGTGTCTACCTCCCTTCAAAGAACCTATCCCTTCCTTAGAACCTACCTCCTGCTCTATGTCTACCTCCTCCCAAAGAACCTATTCTGCCTCAGAACCTACCTTCTACCCCGTGTCTACCTCCTCCCAAAGAGCCTATCCCTTCCTCAGAACCTACCTTCTACCCTGTGTCTACTTCTGCCCAAGAGACTATCCCTTCTTCAGAACCTACCTCCTACCCTGTGTCTGCCTCCCTTCAAAGTACCAATCCCTTCCCTAGAACCTACCTCCTACCCTGTGTCTACTTCCGTCCAAAGAGACTATCCCTTCTTCAGAACCTACCTCCTACTCTGTGTCTACCTCCCTTCAAAGTACCAATCCCTTCCCTAGAACCTACCTCCTACCCTGTGTCTACCTCCTCCTAAAGAACCTATCCCTTTCTCAGAACCTACCTTCTACCCTGTGTCTACTTCCTCCCAAAGAGACGATCCTTTCTTCAGAACCTACCTCCTGCCCTGTGTCTACCTCCTCCCAAAGAACCTATCCCTTCCTCAGAACATTCCTCTTACCCTGTGTCTACCTCCTCCCAAAGTACATATCCCTTCCTCAGAACCTACCTCTTATCCTGTGTCTACTTCCTCCCAAAGAACCTATCCCTTCCTTCTTAGAACCTACCTCCTGCTCTATGTCTTCCTTCTCCCAAAGAATCTATTCTGCCTTAGAACCTACCTCCTACCCCGTGTCCACCTCCTACCAAAGTACCTATCCCTTCCTCAGAACCTACCTCCTACCCCCTGTCTACCTCCTCCCAAAGAACCTATCCCTTCCTCAGAACCTACCTCCTACCCCGTGTCTACCATCTCCCAAAGAACCTATCCCTTCCTAAGAACCTACCTTCTTCCCAGTGACTAATTCCCTCCAAAGTACCTATCCCTTCCTCAAAACCTACCTACTTACCCCATGTCTACCTCCTCCCGAATTACCTATCCCTTCCTCAGAACCTACCTACTTACCCCGTGTCTACCTCCTCCCAAAGAGCCTATCCCTTCCTTAGAACCTACCTCCTACCCTGTATCTACCTCCTCCCAAAGAACCTATTTTGCCTCAGAACCTACCTCCTACCCCGTGTCGACCTCCTCCCAAAGTACCTATCCCTTCCTAAGGTCTTACCGTGTACCCCGTGTCTACCTCTTTCCAAACAACCTATTCCTTCCTCAGAGCCTACCTCCAACCCCATGTCTACCTCCTCCCAAAAAAACTATCCCTTATTCAGAATCTACCTCCTACACCGTGTCTTCCTCCTCCGAAAGTATGTATCCCTTCCTCATAACCTACCTACTTACCCCTTGTCTACCTCCTCCCAAAGTACCTATCCCTTCTTCAGAACCTACCTCCTACCCTGTGTCTACCTCCTCCTAGAGAAGCTATCCCTTCCTCACAACCTATCTCCTACCCCATGTCTACCTCCTCCCAAAGTACATATCCCTTCCTCAGAACCTACCTCCTCCCCAGTCAGTGTCAACCTCCTCCCAAAGAACCTATCCCTTCCTCCAACCTACCTCCTACACCGTGTCTACTTCCTCCCAAAAAGAGGATCCCTTCCTCAGAACCTACCTCCTACACGATGTCTACCTCCTCCCAAAGTACCTATCCCTTTCTCAAAACCTACCTACTAACCCCGTGTTTACCTCCTCCCAAAGTACCTATTCCTTCCTTAGAACCTACTCCTTCCTTAGAACCTACCTCCTATCCTGTGTCGACCTCCTCCCAAAGAACCTATTCTGCCTCAAAATCTACCTTCTACCCCATGTTATCTTCCTCCCGAAGAACCTATCCCTTCATCAGAACCTACCTTCTACCCCTTGTCTAGCTCCTCCCAAAACACCTATCCCTTCCTCAGAAACCTACCTCCTACCCGGTGTCTACCTCCTCCCAAAGAACCTAACCCTTCCACAGAACCTACCTCCTACCCTGTGTCTACCTCCTCCCAAAGGACCTTACCTTTCATCAGAACCTACCTCCTACCAATGTCTATCACCTCCTTAAGAACCTATTCCTTCCTCAGAACCTACCTCCTACCCTGTGTCTACCTCCTCCCGAAGTACCTATTCCTTCCTAAGAACCTACCTCTTACCCAGTGTCTACCACCTCCCAAAGTACCTATCCCTTCCTTAGAACCTACCTCCTACCCCGTGTCTACCTCCTCCCAAAGTACCTATCCCTTCCTCAGAACCTACCTCCTTCCCCCGTATCTACCTCCTCCCAAAGAACCTATCCCTTCCTCAGAAACCTACCTCCTACCCCTTGTCTTCCTCCCTCCAAAGTACCTATCCCTTCCTCAGAACCTACCTCCTCCAAAGTGTCTACCTTCTCCCAAAGAAGCTATCCCTTCCTTAGAACCTACCTCCTACCCCGTGTCTACCTCCTCCAAAAGACCCTAACCCTTCCACAGAACCTACCTCCTACCCCTTGTCTTCCTCCATCCAAAGAACCTATCCCTTCCTCCAACCTACCTCCTACACCGTGTCTACTTCCTCCCAAAAAAAGGATACCTTCCTCAGAACCTACCTCCTACACGATGTCTACCTCCTCCCAAAGTACCTATCCCTTTCTCAAAACCTACCTACTAACCCCGTGTTGACCTCCTCCCAAAGTACCTATTCCTTCCTTAGAACCTACCTCCTACCTGTATCGACCTCCTCCCAAAGAACCTATTCTGCCTCAAAATCTACCTCCTACCCCATGTTCTCTTCCGCCCGAAGAACCTATCCCTTCATCAGAACCTACCTCCTACCCCGTGTCTACCTCCTCCCAAAGAACCTACCCCTTCCACAGAACCTACCTCCTACCCCTTGTCTTCCTCCCTCCAAAGTACCTATCCCTTCCTCAGAACCTACCTCCTCCCAAGTGTCTACCTCCTCCAAAGTGTCTACCTTTTCCCAAAGAAGCTATTCCTTCCTTAGAACCTACCTCCTACCCCGTGTCTACCTCCTCCCAAAGAACCTACCCCTTCCACAGAACCTACCTCCTACCCCTTGTCTTCCTCCCTCCAAAGTACCTATCCCTTCCTCAGAACCTACCTCCTCCCAAGTGTCTACCTCCTCCAAAGTGTCTACCTTCTCCCAAAGAAGCTATCCCTTCCTTTGAACCTACCTCCTACCCCGTGTCTACCTCCTCCCAAAGAACCTAACCCTTCCACAGAACCTTCCTCCTACCCCTTGTCTTCCTCCCTCCAAAGAACCTATCCCTTCCTCCAACCTACCTCCTATACAGTGTCTACTTCCTCCCAAAAAAAGGATCCCTTCCTCAGAACCTACCTCCTACACGATGTCTACCTCCTCCCAAAGTACCTATCCCTTTCTCAAAACCTACCTACTAACCCCGTGTTTACCTCCTCCCAAAGTACCTATTCCTTCCTTAGAACCTACCTCCTATCCTGTGTCGACCTCCTCCCAAAGAACCTATTCTGCCTCAAAATCTACCTCCTACCCCATGTTCTCTTCCTCCCGAAGAACCTATCCCTTCATCAGAACCTACCTTCTACCCCTTGTCTAGCTCCTCCCAAAACACCTATCCCTTCCTCAGAAACCTACCTCCTACCCCGTGTCTACCTCCTCCCAAAGAACCTAACCCTTCCTCCAACCTACCTCCTACACCGTGTCTACCTCCTCCCAAAGGACCTTACCTTTCATCAGAACCTACCTCCTACCCATGTCTATCACCTCCTTAAGAACCTATTCCTTCCTCAGAACCTACCTCCTACCAATGTCTATCACCTCCTTAAGAACCTATTCAGTACCAATCCCTTCCTCAGAACCTACCTCGTACCCTGTGTCTACCTCCTCCCGAAGTACCTATTCCTTCCTAAGAACCTACCTCCTACCCATGTCTATCCCCTCCTTAAGAACCTATTCAGTACCAATCCCTTCCTCAGAACCTACCTCGTACCCTGTGTCTACCTCCTCCCGAAGTACCTATTCCTTCCTAAGAACCTACCTCCTACCCATGTCTATCACCTCCTTAAGAACCTATTCCTTCCTCAGAACCTACCTCGTACCCTGTGTCTACCTCCTCCCGAAGTACCTATTCCTTCCTAAGAACCTACCTCCTACCCATGTCTATCCCCTCCTTAAGAACCTATTCAGTACCAATCCCTTCCTCAGAACCTACCTCGTACCCTGTGTCTACCTCCTCCCGAAGGACCTATTCCTTCCTAAGAACCTACCTCCTACCCATGTCTATCCCCTCCTTAAGAACCTATTCAGTACCAATCCCTTCCTCAGAACCTACCTCCTACCCTGTGTCTACTTCCTCCCAAAAAAAGGATCCCTTCCTCAGCTACCTCTTGTCTTCCTCCCTCCAAAGTACCTATCCCTTCCTCAGAAACCTACCTCCTACCCGGTGTCTACCTCCTCCCAAAGAACCTAACCCTTCCACAGAACCTACCTCCTACCCTGTGTCTACCTCCTCCCAAAGGACCTTACCTTTCATCAGAACCTACCTCCTACCAATGTCTATCACCTCCTTAAGAACCTATTCCTTCCTCAGAACCTACCTCCTACCCTGTGTCTACCTCTTCCCAAAGGACCTTACCCTTCATCAGAACCTACCTCCTACCCATGTCTATCATCTCCTTAAGAACCTATTCCTTCCTCATAACCTACCTCCTACCCTGTGTCTACCTCCTTCCAAAGTACCTATTCCTTCCTAAGAACCTCCCTCTTACCCAGTGTCTCCCACCTCCCAAAGTACCTATCCCTTCCTTAGAACCTACCTCCTACCCCGTGTCTACCTCCTCCCAAAGTACCTATCCCTTCCTCAGAACCTACCTCCTCCCAAGTGTCTACCTCCTCCAAAGTGTCTACCTCCTCCCAAAGAAGCTATCCCTTCCTCAGAACCTACCTCCTACCCTGTGTCTACCTCTTCCCAAAGGACCTTACCCTTCATCAGAACCTACCTCCTACCCATGTCTATCATCTCCTTAAGAACCTATTCCTTCCTCATAACCTACCTCCTACCCTGTGTCTACCTCCTTCCAAAGTACCTATTCCTTCCTAAGAACCTACCTCTTACCCAGTGTCTACCACCTCCCAAAGTACCTATCCCTTCCTTAGAACCTAGCTCCTTCCCTGTGTCTACCTCCTCCCAAAGGACCTTACCCTTCATCAGAACCTACCTCCTACCCGTGTCTACCTCCTCCCAAAGAACCTATCCCTTTCTCAGAAACCCACCTCCTACCCCTTGTCTACCTCATCCCAAAGAACCTAACCCTTCCACAGAACCTACCTCCTACCCCTTGTCTTCCTCCCTCCAAAGTACCTATCCCTTCCTCAGAACCTACCTCCTCCCAAGTGTCTACCTCCTCCAAAGTGTCTACCTCCTCCCAAAGAAGCTATCCCTTCCTTAGAACCTACCTCCTAACCCGTGTCTACCTCCTCCCAAAGAACCTAACCCTTCCTCAGAACCTTCCTCTTACCTCTGTGTCTACCTCCTCCCAAATAACCTATACCTTTCTCAGAACAAACCTCCTTCCCCTGTGTTTACCTCCTCCAAAATAACCTATACCTTTCTCAGAACCAAACTCCTTCCCCTGTGTCTACCTCCTCCCAAAGAACCTATCCCTACCTTAGAACCTACCTCCTCTCTTGTATCTACTTCCTCCTTCCAAATACTTACTTTTTCTCCCAATACCTACCTTCCGTTTCTTTAGTAACTACATCCTCATTAATAGAACTTTCCTCCTTCCCTTACTCTTTCAAAAACTACATCCTACATAAAAGTACTAACCTCTGTCCCTTACTCTTCAGTACCTCCTCAATAATAGTAATTACCTCCTTCCCTTACTCTTCAGTACCTACTTTCTCCTCAATAATAGTAAAAACATTGTTCCCTTACTCTTCAGCATCTACTTTCTCCTCAATAATAGTAAAAACATTGTTCCCTTACTCTTCAGTACCTACTTTCTCCTCAATAATAGTAAATACATTGTTCCCTTACTCTTCAGCATCTACTTTCTCCTCAATAATAGTAAATACATTGTTCCCTTACTCTTAAGCATCTACTTTCTCCTCAATAATAGTAAATACATCATTCCCTTACTATTCAGTACCTATTCCCTCCTCAATAATAGTACTTACCTCATTCCCTTACTCTTTAAGTACTCTCCCAATACCTACCTCCCCCATCATTACCTTACTTTTCTTTAGAACCTACATCTTCCTCAATAATAGTACTTACCTCCTTTACTTACTCTTCAGTATCTACTTTCTCCTCAATAATAGTAAATACATCGTTCCCTTACTATTCAGTACCTATTCCCTCCTAAATAATAGTACTTACCTCCTTCCCTTAGTCTTCAGTATCTACTTTCTCTTCAATAATAGTAAATACATTGTTCCCTTACTCTTCAGTACCTACTTTCTCCTCAATAATAGTAAATACATTGTTCCCTTACTGTTCAGTGCCTACTTTCTCCTCAATAATAGTAAATACATTGTTCCCTTACTATTCAGTACCTATTACCTCCTCAATAATAGTACTGACCTCCTTCCCTTACTCTTCAATACCTACTTTCTCCTCAATAATAGTACTGGCCTCCTTCCCTTACTCTTCAGTACCCACTTTCTCCTCAATAATAGTAAATACATTGTTCCCTTACGATTCAGTACCTATTTCCTCCTGAATAATAGTACTTACCTCCTTTTCTTACTCTTCAATACCTAATTTCTCCTCAATAATAGTACTCACCTCCTTCCCTTACTCTTCAATACCTACTTTCTCCTCAATAATAGTAAATACATTGTTCCCTTACTATTCAGTACCTATTTCCTCCTCAATAATAGTACTTACCTCCTTCCCTTACTCTTCAGCATCTACTTTCTCCTCAATAACAGTAAATACATCGTTTCCTTACTATTCAGTACCTATTCCCTCCTCAATAATAGAACTTACCTCCTTCCCTTACCCTTCAGTATCTACTTTCTCCTCAATAATAGTACTTACCTCCTTCCCTTACTCTTCAGTACCTACTTTCTCCTCAATAATAGTAATTACATTGTTCCCTTACTATTCAGTACCTATTCCCTCCTCAATAATAGTACTTACCTCCTTCCCTTACTCTTTAGCAACTACATCCTCGATGAAAGTACTTGCCTCCTTTCTTACTCTTTCAAAAACTACATCCTCAATAAAAGTACTAACCTCCGTCCCTTACTATTCAGTACCTTCTTCCTCCTCAATAACATTACTTGCCTCGCGAGCACCTCATGGTGAAATGACTCAATTTTGTGTAAATGGAAAGTGTATCCCTTCAGTCCAAAATTCCAGGGTGGCGGCAGAGGGGAAGGGCCCAATAGAGGAAATGGAGGTAAATCTCTAAAATCTTTCTCCGTCCTTACCAATGAAGGGATTTTAACCAAATTTGGTCCAGAAAACACTTCTATGTGAAGGGGACACATTTAATATAAAGGAGGGTTCACACACACACACACACACACACACACACACACACACTCCTTCCTTTTGGGATAGAGGAGCTGGGCTCAATGGAAGAAGATATGTTGTAATTTGGAAGTGTTAATTGCTAAATTACACTTGCTAGTCAGGGAGAGGTGCAGACAGACATTCATGCTACCAGGATTGGCTCAAGGTTCAGACCCATCCCTGGCGTCTAACTCCCTGTGTCATTACATGGAAACAGTTGAGATCCCCTACCCATTACTACATATAAAATTGCTGGACATGAAGGACTTGCTCAAGTCCTTTGTGTACTGCCCACCAAAAGGGATTTAGTCCTTCCTACAGCTTAAATTTCTTTTACTGCTTTGATCACTTTTATAGTATTCAGCAGGTTTGAATTTAAAATAAAATACCAGGTGAGCTTTTAAGGCCCTAGGCCACTTGTTGTTCAGGTAGTTTTTCTCGTATTTGAATTTCTTCCTATTCAGATTTCAGATGGAGGCTTATAAGGGACCCTGGTGCGTCCTTGTGATTTTAGCAGTTATACTACAAAATGCAACCCGAACTACAGGTAACAGTACAACCGTGTACAAAGTGTCGATGAGTTCATGTCATCACAAAACAAAACATCGTTTTGTGTATCATCATCTTTTTCGCTAAAAGGACTTCTCGTTAGCTCACCTGGAGAACTATACACTGGATATCAATCATATTTGATCAGAAGCATTCATGGGAGCCAGGGATTCAAATTGTACAAGTAGTGGGACTGACCCCCTTGGCTAAAGGGTGGGGCCAAAAATAGTTTATTGCTTGGAAATGGTTGAGATCTCCACCCTATAACCCTATATACAATTGCTGAGAATGAAGATATTTTTATGCCCAGCATTTGTTTATACAGTTTTGGGGTGGGGATCTCAACTGTTTCAAAGTGATGACCCAGAGGTTAAGTCTGTGAGGGTAGGACAGACCCTGGGGTCAATTCTAATATCATGACTGCATTCGTCTCTTTATGCCCAACAATTGTATATATAGTTTTTGGGTGGGGATCTTAGCCGTTTCAAAGTTATGACCCAGGGGTCAAGTCTCCAAGGGTTGAGCAGACTCTGGAATCAATTCCTATATCATGACTGCATTCGTCTCTTTATGCCAAGCATTTGTATATACAGTTTTGGGGTGGGGATCTCAACCGTTTCAAAGTTATGACCCAAGGACTATGTCTCCAAGGGTGGGCCAGACCCCTGGGCAATCCTGGAAACATGTGCATTAAAGAGACGAATGCAGTCATGATATTATAATTGATCATGGGGTCTGGCCACAACCCTAGGGATCTAGTTTCTGAGTCACACCTTGGAAACAGTTGAGATCCCCACCCCATAACCATACATAAAATTGCAGGGCATGAAAAATCTAATACAGATAGGATACAGGGATTGTCCTTGGGGTCTGGCCCATTCCTTTGCATCTTATTTGGAGAATTTTTTGCCATGATTACTTTCATATCCAGGTGAGCAATACATGCCCTCTGAGCCTCTTGTTTAGAATGGCTACGGAAATTTGACTTAATTCAGAATCGAGCATTCCTGGACAAAGGAAATGAAATGTTGTAACCTTAACTAAGTTAACTGTATGGCATCTATGGCTCGAACAATATATTGAATTTTCAATACTTACACTACTTAGTGGTATTTTCAGTGATTTTTTCCAAGTACTATCAGAACAAAACTCAACAAAGATGTCATTACATATCAAAAGTATGTATATTAAAGTACAACACATTTGCAAAGCAACTTTCTAAAGTTTGGCAAGCTATCCAATACAATGCATTATAATATTTGTTTTGGATGCCAGCTTAACACACATCCCTAGAATTAGGGAATAAATGTAAATATTTAAAGACAACATATGAAAGAGGAGGCCGGGAGATGGTTTCAACATAATCTGGCAATCACTCAAGGCAGTTGTAGTAAACGGTGTTCTAAGGGAGCATTGGACAACACGACAGAACCTTACTCAAAGACTCATTTATTCCAGCCTTATGTTAAATTTAGCATTGATAGGGAAAGAACAGAGTTTTTAAATGATGAGCAAGTGAGTGCTGAGTGATATTGATTTTGCTAGTCCAGAATTCATTATAACACTGCAATTTAGGACAAACTTAAGGTGGTGTTGGGCGATTCAAACTTTCAAGAAAGACAATTAATACGGGTCTGAACTAAACTTAGTAGGATGTTCTTAAAATCTCCGTTTTGATTACTCTGCTTGTAATAGCGGGATAATTTATTTCGCTATGTTCACAGTCACCAAAGATGGTGCAAAATTAAATACTTAGAGAATATTAATACTGTATCACAACATTTAACCTCCAAGAATATTTGTGGACATAAAAGAATACTCTGTAATAAAGATATGTAATTAAAACAAAGAACTTAAACAGGGACATGTGTCTTGTTTATTTAATATATTTTCAATGCATTAATTCATATTAGGAATTATATTCTTATTCTAGTGGTTGTTTCAATTTTTCAACACCCCAAAAATCTAAAACTGAAATATTGCTGGCGAGAGTTGTAATATCCCTAGAAAGATATTTCTCAAATGCCATTTTTATTAAGTTGTAGGTCAACCTGTTATGTTGGGGTTTCCAGTTGTCCAGAGGCCCCTTTACTACACAGACACCCTCGGTCTGTCTACAGCCCTCATCAACCATGTCAATGAACTCCCCAGTAACTTTATCCTGACTGCCGTCCATGTCTACATCCATCAGAATTTCAGACAGCCATCCCTTGGTAACATCCTTCTGTGGGAGAGAATATCCGCCTTCAGGTACAGACTGCTGTTCAAACAAAGAGCCACCTTCCCAGGAACTCAAGGCAGGCATACGGTAGGGAAAATGTCCAGAAATGCTTTAAGGAAGTCTTGCTGTCTGCTTTTTCATTAGCTCATAAGAGCTGAGATCATTTATAATTAGGGTCTTTAGTTCTCACCAAGGATGAGGATGGACCCCTAAAAGGAGCAATCTTGAGAAGCCTTTTCCTGATGACCTAGAAATAGCAGAGCTTAGGTGATTCTATTTGTATGTAGGTCTAGGGACAGAAAAGTGCTCTCAACAAAGAAACCTAAAGAGGATCTTGGTGCCACCCAAGTATTCACCAGGTGGTTAATTGTCATCTGGTGCCACCCAAGTACTCACCAGGTAGTTAATTGTAACCTGGTGCCAACCACGTATTCACCAGGTAGTTAATTGTCATCTGGTGCCACCCAAGTACTCACCAGGTAGTTAATTGTAACCTGGTGCCAACCAAATATTCACCAGGTAGTTAATTGTAACCTGGTGCAACCAAGTATTCACCAGGTAGTTAATTGTTATCTGGTGCCACCCAAGTACTCACCAGGTAGTTAATTGTAACCTGGTGCCACCCAAGTATTCACCAGGTAGTTAATTGTACCCTGGTGCCAACCAAGTATTCACCAGGTAGTAAATTGAAACCTGGTGCCAACCAAGTATTCACCAGGTCCAAGTATTCACCAGGTGGTTAATTGTCATCTGGTGCCACCCAAGTACTCACCAGGTAGTTAATTGTATCCTGGTGCCACCCAAGTATTCACCAGGTAGTTAATTGTAACTTGGTGCAACCAAGTATTCACCAGGTAGTTAAATGTAACCAAATTTGATGCAAAAGAATTTTTAACCCTCTGTCATCATCACATTGTTGACTTTTCAAATTGATTCTTGTCCATGCAATCATTCTGTCCATCTGTTAAAATTCTTGTAATTTCTCAGAAAGTATATTACAAGTCAGAATGTCAGTCTGGTGCCACCCAAGTACTCACCAGGTAGTTAATTGTATCCTGGTGCCACCCAAGTATTCACCAGGTAGTTAATTGTAACTTGGTGCAACCAAGTATTCACCAGGTAGTTAATTGTACCCTGGTGCAACCAAGTATTCACTAGGTAGCTAATTGTAACCTGGTGCCAACCAAGTATTCACCGGGTAGTTAATTGTAACCTGGTGCAACCAAGTATGCACTAGGTAGTTAATTTTAACATGGTGCCAACCAAGTATTCACCAGGTACTTAATGGTAACCTGGTGCAACCAAGTATTCACCAGGGAGTTAATTGTTATCTGGTGCCACCCAAGTACTCACCAGGTAGTTAATTGTAACCTGGTGCCAACCACGTATTCACCAGGTAGTTAATTGTCATCTGGTGCCACCCAAGTACTCACCAGGTAGTTAATTGTAACATGGTGCCAACCAAGTATTCACCAGGTAGTAAATTGAAACCTGGTGCCAACCAAGTATTCACCAGGTAGTAAATTGAAACCTGGTGCCAACCAAGTATTCACCAGGTACTTAATGGTAACCTGGTGCAACCAAGTATTCACCAGATAATTAATTGTAACCTGGTGCCAACCAAGGATTCACCAGGTACACTGTAGTTAATTGTAACCTGGCGCCACCCAAGTATTCACCAGGTAGTTAATTGTAACTTGGTGCAACCAAGTATTCACCAGGTAGTTAATTGTAACCTGATGCCAACCAAGTATTCACCAGGTAGATAATTGTAACCTGGTGCCAACCAAGTATTCACTAGGTAGTTAATTGTACCCTGGTGCCAACCAAGTATTCACCAGGTAGTTAAGTGTAACCTGGTGCAACCAAGTATTCACCAGGTAGTTAATTGTAACCAAATTTGATGCAAAAGAATTTTTAACCCTCTGTCATCATCACATTGTTGACTTTTCAAATTGATTTTTGTCCATGCAATCATTCTGTCCATCTGTTAAAATTCTTGTAATTTCTCAGAAAGTATATTACAAGTCAGAATGTCAGTCTTTCAGATTTTGTTTACAGGTTACTTTGAGTCCTTGTGGTGCAGCACCATTTATTTGTGAATGTCAAGAACAAGATGGCTACCAGGTGTCCATCTTAAGTCTGTGATTGCTATTTTCCAAGAAGTACAGGACAGATTTTTTTTACATTTTGTTTCGCAATATTGCTTTAGTTCAAGATCAAAGGTCAACGCCACAGATGTCAACTTCCATATCTCACAACAGTGATGGTTGCGTGATATGAAGCCTTAATTTTTAGGGATATTGAACAAATGATTCAAGACAGAGATCTAGCAGATCTATGACCTTAACAGTTCTTGAACTTATGTTGTGACCTTGAAAAGTGCTAAAGGCTTCACAAGTTTACAGAACATAAAAATTCCTTAAGGAGTTTCCACCCTTCGTAATACACATTTTTTTCTTGTCGTATTTTCGTGTCGTCATTTCCGTATTGCGTATCGGGCATTCCATTATCGAAGTGTAAATTATAGTAACACTGGGTAAACAATAGTACATGTGCGTGACGTGATATGTCAACACCCGATATCTAGACTTAACTTGGAAATTTGTAATCACATGTACTTCAGAAATAAAGCTTATGATACAAAGACATTAATCAACTCACGGGAAAACACTGACATACGATCAGACGACTTCAAGAAGGTTGTATATGAGGCGCATGGAATGCAGAGTGATGTGTTTTGTTTACCGACCTCACCTGTATGTATCACGTGCTAACAGTAGTTCACAAGCTCTTGGTCGCTACGACTTTTGTTGGCGAGCGAGTTGGGCTCTGTCAGATAAATCGGTTCACAAATGCAATTACAATAACTCTGTGAAAAAAGTGGTTTGTAAAATATCAAGATCCCTATAAAATGCAAGTGCATGTGCGTGCACGTAATAACGGCATACCATGCGAAAGCCTATGGTTACTTATGTACCTGACATGTTAATATACCGTGCGTAAGCAGGCTATGGAAGGATGTCCAAAGTGTACATGATTGAGAGTAATTTTGTTCCATAAAAGAACAGTAAATTGAAAAATAAATATAGTAATTTAATTTATTTCCGTCATTTTTCTGGTGTATTAAATAAAATAAGTGTCATTGTATAAATTCTATCCCTCTGCAAAAAGTTCCGATTATTTTCAAGGTAGACAACTCTCATCAGGATCAAAATAATTGTAAAATGTAAAATAAATTAATTATAAAGACTTTGTGTGTATTTGGTTCCATTTTTCACTCTTTTTGTATGTAATTATGTTTCCTGTTTGATTTTGGCTTGCATTTAGTAACTTTTATCCATATAGTTTCAATAAAGAAACCCTTTTTGTAACATGTTGTAGATATTTTATGATAAATAAAATATTTGTAGGGTTGATTAGCAACGTTTCTTTTCATTATTTTATTGTTGTAATAGTTTTGAACAATGCCACACGCTCAAAAAATGTGAAAGTGTTGAATTTGACAAAAAATCAATTTTTCAGTATTTTTTACAAATAAATCCCCAGTTTATCAGAATGCTTAGATTTTCATAAAATCGTCTCTGCATAGTGACATAACTATCATGTGAAACTTTCATTGAATTCTGATGGCTAATTGCGAAAGGGTGGAGCCTCCTTAAATTAACATTTTCCTTGAAAATTCAATTCTTTGGAAATATGCAAGTTATGAATAACTCGCACACAGAAATTGTAATGTTTTTCTCAGACCATGACTTACCAACGATGTGAAAACAAAAAAAATATGAGATGATGAAAAAAACTTTGCATCAATTAATCATGAGGATGGAAAAATGTTGAGTAAAATTTTGTGAGATAAGCCTCTCATGATGTGCTTGCAACTTTCAAGAAGAACTTTTGAAACTTGATAGAATATTTGTGCATTTCATATAGCAGATGGTAATAAAATACATGTTATTTGAAGTCACTGCATAATAAATTACTTACAATCTAATTAAAATTATATCTTCACATCGCTCCCGTTTTCTGATATGTCGCGTTGTAGATCCTTCAACGCGACATATCAGAAAACGGGAGCGATGTGAAGATATAATTTTAATTAGATTGAATTACTTAATGTATGGAATGTTTTCATGATGTTTTGAATCAACTAAAACATTACCAAGTTGAATTGTCAACTTATTTTACATTCTGAGGTAATACTGTATAACGGGAATTTTTGTCGCAGTTTAACTTTTCGCCTTTTTCGCCCTCCGTAATGAGAGTGAATTGGTCATTGCAGCAGTAAGCAATATAAGAAACACAGTAATCAAATGTGTAGGGTGAAATTAACACTGCACGAAAATACATTTTACTGGAGTAGGGTGAAAGTTTTGCTGGAGTAGGGTGAAAGTTTTACTGGAGTAGGGTGCAAGTTTTGCTGGAGTAGGATGAAAGTTTTGCTGGAGTAGGGTGAAAACTGGAGTAGGATGAAAGTTTTGCTGGAGTAGGATGAAAGTTTTACTGGAATAGGGTGAACGTTTTACTGGAGTAGGGTGAAAGTTTTGCTGGAGTAATGTGAAAACTGGAGTAGGATGAAAGTTTTGCTGGAGTAGGGTGAAAGTTTTGCTGGAGTAGGGTGAAAGTTTTGCTGGAGTAGGGTGAAAGTTTTGCTGGAGTAGGGTGAAAGTTTTGCTGGAGTAGGGTGAAAGTTTTGCTGGAGTAGGGTGAAAGTTTTGCTGGAGTAGGGTGAAAACTGGAGTAGGATGAAAGTTTTGCTGGAGTAGGGTGAAAACTGGAGTAGGGTGAAAGTTTTGCTGGAGTAGGATGAAATTTTTACTTGAGTAGGGTGAAAACTGGAGTAGGATGAAAGTTTTGCTGGAGTAGGGTGAAAGTTTTGCTGGAGTAGGGTGAAAACTGGAATAGGATAAAAGTTTTGCTGGAGTAGCGTGAAAGTTTTACTGGAGTAGGGTGAAAGTTTTGCTGGAGTAGGGTGTAAACTGGAGTAGGGTGAAAGTTTTGCTGGAGTAGGGTGAAAGTTTTATTGGAGTAGGATGAAAGTTTTACTGGAGTAGGGTGAAAGTTTTACTGGAGTAGGGTGAAGGGATTTACTGGAGTGGGGTGAAGGGATTTACTGGAGTAGGGTGAAAACTGGAGTAGGGTGAAAGTTTTACTGGAGTAGGGTGAAAGTTTCACAGTATACACTACATAATTTCTGCTTTGTCTCAGATTGTCATCAACAATGCTCCGACAACTGGTGCTGGAATTTTCCTAGGCTGGAGCACAGATGTGGCCTATATACCAATGAGCTTTAGCTACTCTCCCACACCAAACAACGGTACACTGTTGACCTATGCTAATGACGGTACACTGGCAGTGGGCTCACAGCTAGAATTCTTCATCAAACCCTTTTTCTTCTCTGTCCAGGCAGATTTAGAACCATGTAAGGAACGGATACATTGAAGTTCAGTAATTCAAACATGACAATTTTCCTGTGTAAAATTTTTCATGATTCATCTGTTCAGACCATATGCAATTGTGAAATTTTCCAATTGTCATTGTCTTACTCCTATTTTCTGTTTATTGTAGTTGTACCTACAACGACTGCTGGTCCTACAACTGCACCTAATATCTCAACACAGGTGACAACAACACAGGTAACCACAACACAAGTGACAACACCGGTAACCACAACACCAGTGACGACACCCCATGTAGCCACAACACAGATAGTAACCACAGCACAGGTGACAATACCAACAATTACCCAAGGAAACACAGGAGCCACAGGACTGACAGGAAGTACTGGGCCACAAGGAATAACGGGAGCCTTAGGATTAACAGGAAGTACTGGTCCACAAGGAATAACGGGAGCCTTAGGATTAACAGGAAGTACTGGGCCACAAGGAATAACAGGACCCTTAGGTTTAACAGGAAGTACTGGGCCACAGGGAAATACTGGAGCCATAGGATTAACAGGAAGTACTGGGCCACAGGGAAACACTGGAGCCTTAGGATTAATAGGAAGTACTGGACCAGTAGGACCCACAGGTGTTGCTGGAAAAACAGGACAACAGGGAAACACAGGAGCTATAGGTTTGACAGGAAGTACTGGACCAATAGGACCTACAGGTGTTGTTGGTAATACAGGACCACAGGGAAACACTGGAGCCTTAGGATTAACAGGAAGTACTGGACCAGTAGGACCAACAGGTGTTGTTGGGAATACAGGACCACAGGGAAACACAGGAGCTATAGGTTTGACAGGAAGTACTGGACCAATAGGACCTACAGGTTTTACTGGGAATACAGGACCACAGGGAAACACAGGAGCTATAGGTTTGACAGGAAGGACTGGGCCAATAGGACCTACAGGTGTTGTTGGTAATACAGGATCCACAGGTGTTGTTGGTAATACAGGACCACAGGGAAACACAGGAGCCTTAGGATTAACAGGAAGTACTGGACCAATAGGACCTACAGGTGTTGTTGGTAATACAGGACCACAGGGAAACAGAGGAGCTATAGGGTTGACAGGAAGTACTGGACCACTAGGACCTACAGGTGTTGTTGGTAATACAGGACCACAGGGAAACACAGGAGCCTTAGGATTAACAGGAAGTACTGGACCAATAGGACCTACAGGTGGTGTTGGTAATACAGGACCACAGGGAAACACAGGAGCTATAGGTTTGACCGGAGGTATTGGACCAGTAGGACCCACAGGTGTTGTTGGTAATACAGGACCACAGGGAAACACAGGAGCTATAGGTTTGACAGGAAGTACTGGACCAATAGGACCTACAGGTGTTGTTGGTAATACAGGACCACAGGGAAACACAGGAGCTATAGGTTTGACAGGAAGTACTGGACCAATAGGACCTACAGGTGTTGTTGGTAATACAGGACCACAGGGAAACACAGGAGCTATAGGTTTGACAGGAAGTACTGGACCAATAGGACCTACAGGTGTTGTTGGTAATACAGGACCACAGGGAAACACAGGAGCTATAGGTTTGACAGGAAGTACTGGACCAATAGGACCTACAGGTGTTGTTGGTAATACAGGACCACAGGGAAACACAGGAGCTATAGGTTTGACAGGAAGTACTGGACCAATAGGACCTACAGGTGTTGTTGGTAATACAGGACCACAGGGAAACACAGGAGCTATAGGTTTGACAGGAAGTACTGGACCAATAGGACCTACAGGTGTTGTTGGTAATACAGGACCACAGGGAAACACTGGAGCTATAGGTTTGACAGGAAGTACTGGACCAATAGGACCTACAGGTGTTGTTGGTAATACAGGACCACAGGGAAACACAGGAGCTATAGGTTTGACAGGAAGTACTGGACCAATAGGACCTACAGGTGTTGTTGGTAATACAGGACCACAGGGAAACACTGGAGCTATAGGTTTGACAGGAAGTACTGGACCAATAGGACCTACAGGTGTTGTTGGTAATACAGGACCACAGGGAAACACAGGAGCTATAGGTTTGACAGGAAGTACTGGACCAATAGGACCTACAGGTGTTGTTGGTAATACAGGACCACAGGGAAACACTGGAGCTATAGGTTTGACAGGAAGTACTGGACCAATAGGACCTACAGGTGTTGTTGGTAATACAGGACCACAGGGAAACACAGGAGCTATAGGTTTGACAGGAAGTACTGGACCAATAGGACCTACAGGTGTTGTTGGTAATACAGGACCACAGGGAAACACTGGAGCTATAGGTTTGACAGGAAGTACTGGACCAATAGGACCTACAGGTGTTGTTGGTAATACAGGACCACAGGGAAACACAGGAGCTATAGGTTTGACAGGAAGTACTGGACCAATAGGACCTACAGGTGTTGTTGGTAATACAGGACCACAGGGAAACACTGGAGCCTTAGGATTAACAGGAAGTACTGGACCAATAGGACCTACAGGTGTTGTTGGGAATACAGGACCACAGGGAAACACAGGAGCTATAGGTTTGACAGGAAGTACTGGACCAATAGGACCTACAGGTGTTGTTGGTAATACAGGACCACAGGGAAACACTGGAGCCTTAGGATTAACAGGAAGTACTGGACCAATAGGACCTACAGGTGTTGTTGGGAATACAGGACCACAGGGAAACACAGGAGCTATAGGTTTGACAGGAAGTACTGGACCAATAGGACCTACAGGTGTTGTTGGTAATACAGGACCACAGGGAAACACTGGAGCCTTAGGATTAACAGGAAGTACTGGACCAATAGGACCTACAGGTGTTGTTGGTAATACAGGACCACAGGGAAACACAGGAGCTATAGGTTTGACAGGAAGTACTGGACCAATAGGACCTACAGGTGTTGTTGGTAATACAGGACCACAGGGAAACACTGGAGCCTTAGGATTAACAGGAAGTACTGGACCAATAGGACCTACAGGTGTTGTTGGTAATACAGGACCACAGGGAAACACAGGAGCTAAAGGTTTGACAGGAAGTACTGGACCAATAGGACCTACAGGTGTTGTTGGTAATACAGGACCACAGGGAAACACAGGAGCTATAGGTTTGACAGGAAGTACTGGACCAATAGGACCTACAGGTGTTGTTGGTAATACAGGACCACAGGGAAACACAGGAGCTATAGGTTTGACAGGAAGTACTGGACCAATAGGACCTACAGGTGTTGTTGGTAATACAGGACCACAGGGAAACACAGGAGCTATAGGTTTGACAGGAAGTACTGGACCAATAGGACCTACAGGTGTTGTTGGTAATACAGGACCACAGGGAAACACAGGAGCTATAGGTTTGACAGGAAGTACTGGACCAATAGGACCTACAGGTGTTGTTGGTAATACAGGACCACAGGGAAACACAGGAGCTATAGGTTTGACAGGAAGTACTGGACCAATAGGACCTACAGGTGTTGTTGGTAATACAGGACCACAGGGAAACACAGGAGCTATAGGTTTGACCGGAGGTATTGGACCAGTAGGACCCACAGGTGTTGTTGGTAATACAGGACCACAGGGAAACACAGGACCAATAGGATTGACAGGACATACTGGCCCAATAGGACCTACAGGTGTGGTAGGAAATACGGGCCCACAGGGAAACACTGGACCAATAGGATGGACAGGATATTCTGGTCCAATGGGACCTACAGGTTTTGTTGGGAATACAGGACCACAAGGAAATACTGGACCAATAGGATGGACAGGTCATACTGGTCCAATAGGACCGACAGGTGTAGTTGGGAATACAGGTTTCGGAAGCACTGGACCAATGGGACCACAGGGGTATACTGGAGCTGTAGGTAAGATTTAACCATTTGTGGGGATACAGAAGCAGCTAAGCAAGCTCCACATTGCTATGTAACAGATATGGTTAGAAAATATAATTCTTCACTCAAAAACTCTCCTTATGCATTGGAAGTGTTTTTTGTTTGCTCACATGGCTATAGCTGTATTAAATTATTTCTGAAAAGAGACCCATAACTACAGAATATTCTACAGACGTACGTTGGATTTGATGGAAGACATTATTATATAGCTGCAGATGTTTTAACATAATTGCATAAACAAGGCCTATCTGAATAATGAAAAGTTCTTTTTACACAACCAATAAAATTTTCTATGTGACGTTTCGATGACTAGTAAGATATGTACACTGTCACCTTCATCAGACAAATGACCAGAGCGCTTAAACAAAGCGTAGCTGAATCGAGTAATTTCGGTGCATACATAACATTTATTGTACATACGCTTACAGCGTAGCCGAAATCAACATCGATTTTGTGGACAACTCGTACATATTTTACACCTTTGGGTACATACGCTTCACTGGTCACTTGTCTGATGAAGGTGACAGTACAAAAAAAGAACTTTTCATAATCCATACCTACCAACCTGAAGAAAGTGTTTAGAAAAGGGCCTCTCTGGGTTTAAAACCTACACCTCCTTACATGAAACAGGCTCTCTCTAACAGACTTCGCAATTATCTGTTTACCAAGTCGATGGTAATCATCTGGCCTTAGACCTGCTACTTTTATATCGGAAACAAAATAAAAAGGTGGTGACACTATGTAAAACAATGGAATTCTCCATTGTTTTACCTGCTTAGGGCCAGGGATCCTTAACCCTTTCACCACTGTGAACCATAATGGACTCGCCAAAATCAATGCATGGTAGAGTTCACTAAAGTTACATAGGGGTGAAAGGGTTAAATTTCACAGATCACAGTATGCTGATATTACAAGCATTGTATGTATAGTACAATATAGATAGAAATGTGTCGCCAAACTCATAGATTGTCTTTTTCTCATTTGTTGTTAATACTGATTTATCAAGTGTCCAATGCACTAATGTAATTTCCTTACTTCAGGTGAAACCGGTCCACAGCATCCAGGTTGGTATTTTATCTCGCAGAAAAGATTTTGCTTTCAACAGTGGCTTTTTTAATTGCCCCGGATATGTTCAATCTGAAGTCTCAAATATAAGTCTGACGTAAAAATAAAACAGTCTCAAATGAGCCATCAGTTTCAAATGTTGTCTGGGTTTTTGTAATGTTAATTTAACAGCAGAAAAAAAATGATTCATAGATAGCAACCAGGTACATGTACATTGTACTACCAAAGGTAAACAAAAATGTATCCAATGTATTAATGAAATTTTTAAATATTGCATAATTATAATTATAAAAACATGTGTCTCAGATCATATCATATTTTTATCAATGCGATTTTGTATATATGTCTTATTTAGTGGTAACCAGCTTTTTAGGCAACAGTTACCCTTAAACACAAACTTCGTTACACCGTCCTAAATATGGGTCACCAGTAAAATGTAATAACACGGCAGGATAATCTCAAATATAAGTTTCGAGTGTAATTAAACAAGGTGTCATGTTTTGAAAACCATAAGCGTTTAAGGTATTTTGATCTCATAATCGGAACACATTTGCTGTGGCTCCACTGTAATCAGGAGTTTCATTCCTAGATATCGCTACTGTATATATCATTGATCATTGCAGTCATCAACCATTGTCTGACCTCTAACAGAGGCAACTGTACCCAGCTATGTGTGGACACATTCGGGGCCTTTCATTGTGGCTGCTTCTTCGGGTTCCGACTACAACAAGATGGCGTCACCTGTTCGGACATTGACGAATGTAATGAGTTGGGACCATGTGATCAGATCTGTACCAACGTAGTAGGTTTTTATCGGTGCATTTGTAATGCAGGATTTACCCTCAACATTGATGGTCACACTTGTTCAGGTAATCAGCATTATAGTTGTTGCTGGATCCTTATATAGCTTCAATTATGTCATTCATTACATTAACGAACTTGTAAGTCACTCTTTTCCAAGCTTTCGGACTTAGCCCTTCGTCAGGGATCAAATGTCACTGGACCTATATGTCACATCCATCTTGACAAACATGTTGACATTTGATCCCTGACGAAGGGCTAAGCCCGAAAGCTTGGAAAAGAGTGACTTACAAGTTCAATTATTACGTTCCCTATTCCGTCTTTGCGTATTGCAGAGTTATCTTCTCTTGGGAGCAGGTATTGATTGTTACGTCAATGGTCTGTGTGAGAAAATAACGTCGTTTTCTCAAAAATTGATTACGTTATTCTCACAAACAAGTGACGTAACAATCAATACCTGCTACCAAGAGAAGATAACTCTTCAATACGCAAAGACGGAATAGGAACATATGTTTATAGACAATCATTCATTACAGTTATAGTGGAAATGCTTGCATTGTGACTCGATCCTTCAGCTGATTGTGATGGGGAGAATTTCATGTCGGCAATGGTCTCTAGCTCAATATATGCTACACTGTATCTCTAATGTCTCCCTTGACAATGCCTCACTTTTGGCCTTTAGTTGAGCGTTCGTCCCTGTGAGGAAGGATTTGGGTTCTGTCCCCTGGCCGAGACATACCAGTCTGTAAAAATGGTAGTTTCTACTCCTGCTTAACGCTCAGCATTTTAAGAGTGGGACGACTGGTTCGCAGTGACCGGGTGGGGTGTCCTGCTGGGTGTCTTCGGCAGTATGTTTCAGTGAGGTAGCACTATATATTCGGCATCAGTTCCCCGCTATCACAAGGAGACAATCACGAACATATCGCAGCCCAAAACACAAACGCATACACTACACGCTTGCATCTTGCACACAGGGGAGGCCGTCCTTAAATGACCATAGCTGTTGATAGGACGTTAAACAATACTAACCAAAACCAAACCAAACACTGTATATATCTATAATCTATATGTAATTGTCTATGTATACATGCACTAATTTATTCAATGTGAATAGCGTGCACATTTACGCACAGTGAAAAATGTCCACTTTTATGTAGTCATCTACAAAGTGCTAAGTACTGTTTATAAGAGTATCACTTTAATTTTGATAAAATCTTTTTATCTTTCTGTCGATCCATTTATACATATTACTTTGTATAAATGTATAGCTTGGTGAGTCACAACTCAGGAGAGAGTGTGCTATGTCTTTGTGAGGTCATATTGTAAAGGAAATACAGTAATCTTTGTGAGGCCATATTTTAGGGGAAATACAGTAATCTTTGTGAGGCCATAATTGAGGAGAGAATGCAATTTTCATGTGAGGTTACAACAAAAGGGAGAATGCAGTATATCTTTGTGAGGTCAGGACTTGGAGGAAAATACAGTTGGTTGTGAGGTCACAACTCACAACTCAGGGGAGAAACCAGTCTGTGAGGTCACAACTCGGGGGAGAATGCAGTTTGTGAGGTCCCAACTCAGGGGAGAAAGCAGTTTGTGAGGTCACAACTCAGGGGAGAAAGCAGTTTGTGAGCTCACAACTCGGGGAGAAAGCAGTTTGTGAGGTCACAACTCGGGGATAAAGCAGTTTGTGAGGTCACAACTCGGGGAGAAAGCAGTTTGTGAGGTCACAACTCGGGGAGCAAGCAGTTTGTGGGGTCACAACTCGGGGGAGAATGCAGTTTGTGAGGTCACAACTCAGGGGAGGAAGCAGTTTGTGAGGTCCCAACTCAGGGGAGAATGCAGTTTGTAAGATCACAACCTCAATATGGAATATATCTACGGGGGACAAAACATTAGTGGAAAGTACAGTATATCTATGTCGGGTAGCAGTGCTGAGTTTAATTTAACAGGTCAGATCAATGGTTTGTGAATGGGGACATGTATAACTAGGTTTTTGACCCCCTACTCTTCTGTGTGTAGAGAGAACATGTTTATAGCTTTTTGAAATCATAGCTCAATGTGTAGTAAGTATACATATATATTATAATGAGGTAAAATCTCTTTGTGGCTTAATGGCATTGGTTTTAGAGTTTGTTCATTTGTATTTCTGCAGATATCAATGAATGTGAAAGTAGGGACAGTGTTTGTGGAGGACGAGTGGGCACACAGGTCTGCATCAACACTTATGGATCTTATCACTGCCTCATGTTTGAGGGAGCAAGAGGAAAGCTCTTAAAACCGGACAATGAGGCATTTTTAGGTAAAAAGTTCTTACCTCAAAGACATTAGAGACACATACTGGAGAAAAAAAACCAAGAAAAAATCAATAAGTACTGAAGAGCCTTCTTTGCCTTTCTGATTAAATTAATATTCTTCCTTACCATCATTATTCTTAATTGGAATTGCTTTGTAAATTACCCTAAAATTTCCAGTTAATCTGTTTAACTGAATGTTTATTATTCTACTCATATAGTAATGATGCTTGTCAAAACTTTATACACTATTACCCAGTAATTTTAATGCAGAACATTGGTTTTATTGCAGTTTCAAATTGAAGGCCAATATTATAGAATATGATATTAATAATGATGATATTAAATCTTTAATCTTGGTCCAACTGATCTCCTTGACAACATTCTTACACCTGTTGTAGATAAGAGCTGTTCACATTTTCTTTAAAAAAGTCAAAATCATTTATTTTTTCTCTTCACAACTTGCAGATGACATAGTTCCTGGCTTTAAGGAAAAGGAAGAACGGCTCAACACAAAAAGATATCATGAAACTGTTCGACAGACCACACCCAACCCTGGGGCAGTGGAGGAGGAGTCTGGTCTGACCCGAGTCCAGATGACAATTTTGATTGGAAGTTTAATTGGTGTTGTGTTTGTTGCTGTATTTATTGGTTTTGTGATTATGGGAGTTAAGCTTATTGCTCAGAAGAGGTACCGCCCAAGATATCTTCAACGTCCAAGCTCGCTGTATTCATCTGAAGGTTTGGGCCCGAATTACGGCTTTTCTCGTGTGTCAGGGTCCCAGGGTTTAGGCTACCAGGAGTCTATACCAGCACCATGAACATTTACATGTGCTGAGAGTCTACACATAACATTGTATCATCAACATCTGAATGTAATTAACCCTTTCACCCCTATGTAACTTTAGTAAACTCTACCATGCATTGATCTGGACGAGTCCATTATGGTCCACAGTGGTGAAAGGGTTGATCAGTACCATAAATATCTGAATGGTCTTAATATAAGCACCATATGAATCTTTCAACATATTTACCAAAGTCATCAGCACAGTTGAAACTTAAATGTACTTGTATTAGAAAAAAACTGTCATTTACTGACAGGAAAACTGCAGCCTTAACTGGAATTATTATCAAAACTGGAACTTGAATGAGCAAATCTTGTTCTAAAAATCATATCACTATGGGGAAAAACAGAGGCTATAATGTTAGATTCTAAGTTGAATCGAAATGCATTGTAAAAGTATATGTTCCTGAAATGTTTAACCATGTGACAATACAGTCCATCACTGAACATATTGCTAGTCCTCTCAGGAACTCTTGACATCTCTGACATGGACATTGTCCGATGCTATCGTTGAGGAGGATACATAATGGTGTCTACATGTGACAACATCCTTAATACTCCAGGGGTTACTCTCAGTTTCGCTCTCTGCACCCCTGGTATATGACGTCCTAGCAAAATTGAAGGCTCAGTGTGTGCCACCCTGTTGATGAGACAAAAAGACTAGTTTGATCCTTTGATGTACATCAAAAGAATATCACGGTGTGTAACGGTAAAAATTGACTGACTTTGAAGTTGGGTGTGGCCCCTTTGTAACCTTCAAGGGACAGGTATCAGCCTAGCAATTGGTCAGGTGTTTTTTTACCGGAGACCAATCAAACAGCTGTCTTTGTGCCTATGACATATTCCAGGGGTGCAGAGAGCGCAAGTGAGAGTATTAACCCCTGGATATCGAGGATGATGACTGATAGGAGATTAAAGTGCAATAAGTATACTTTAAACATTTATATCATGTGCTTAGTGCTCATACATCCATATGGTTCAGCCAAGATTTTACGGAAACTATTTGGCGGACACTATTGTACATCTAACATCACTATATTTACCGGTATGTGTTGAAATTGCTGATGCATTATAATATATACATTGGAACTTTGTATTGCATATCATAATATTTTTGTTTTCTATATATATATTCCATACATTTTTACAAAAGTTGATAGTTGTAAAACATTATTTCCATATTTTGAAAACTATTTTTGTACATAATATTTCATATATACTACAAAATGTGCAAGATGCTACACATTCTTTAAAAGGTTGCACCTTTATTGTTGCACTTCTGTATTTATAGAGACATTAACTTAATTTATATACCCCAGTTACAAACAGATTTTTATACAAATATCTACCTATACATGAACGTTAATAAAATACATACCACTTGACTGAGATTTTGAAAACTCGGTACCAGTAATTGAGAGACACACATGATCAAGGACAAAGGCCTTCCAGATACCTAAATGACCTTGGTTGCAAACCTATATATCTTGTAAATGAATTTGTATGTATCTCGCAATCTTTATTTTGTGCATGTACTTCTGGCTGTTTTCAAAAACAGGTAAATTATGCTTAGCCTAACAAGCAATTTATGTATTCTGTTTGGGAATGGCATAAAAATGACTGTACTCCTCAAATGACATATATATATATGTTGAATATGAATACTTTATACAATTTACAGATTTCACTATTGTGATGTTGAAAATATTGTAAATTGTGGAATAAAATTCCAGTCTGTTGAAAATATTCAGAATTTGTCTGTTTATTTGTTGTATATGTTAGAGTTTGTGCATGACTTAGACCTGGTGGGCCTAAAATCACTTGCCTTCAGTTATTGAGCATTGAATCTAGACTTTTTAAAATTTGAGCAAGGCAAAAGGAGATTGAAATCTACATTGTATGTATAGAACCGGTGGCCATAACCTTTGACATATAGTGACTGATACAAGAGGGAAGACTGTGGTATGACTTAAACTATTGAGTTATTCCTGACATCAAAATGAAAGGGAATGTAAAGGTATATATTAAATTTACCTAGATTACTCCAAAATGGGGAGAACGAGGGGTGGGGGTATTCTCACGGTAATTTTACTTGGATAGTATAGAAGCGCTGATTATTGACAGAAATATCGTTCATCTTTCCAACCTGGGATTTTTCATCCACCAGAAATGTAATTTTTGCTGCCGGCTAGGAAGTTAATTGGGTTAAATTTCACATATTTATGTGTCTTGAGTACGGCATGTCTCGCAGCATTTCTGTGACCTTCACAATATTGGCCTTGACCTGTTTTACAATGGTTAAGTTTTTACCATAAGAGTCATGGGCTTAAGTACTGCAGATCTGTCAGGGTCATGTAACTTGGAATGCTTATATTCCTCGATAAGTATAGCATTTTGGTGACTGGTTAAGTTTTTGCATTAAGGCCAGTATTGCAAATAGGGTCACATGACTTCACATCAACTTGTAACCCTGACCTCTGTGACCTTGTTCTACATGTACTTCCTAAGTCAGTCTCGAAGCTTATAGACGTCATTTGTTACTTACCGGCACATTTATAATTAGATGTCGAGAGCTGTCCACTCTTCCAATATAAAACAATGTCGGAGTAAAAAGGGTCAAGGCGCGGCCATTTCACTCCTTCACAAAATTCACATGGGCGTTTAAAACACCAAACATTTATGGACCATAATAAATACTTTGAAAAGGAAACTGAAGTATTTCATATTGGTGCAAATAAATTTTAAAACGATATAGGTTCATAGCGGATCCGAAAAGTTTGAAAATTGAGAGGAGTCATCAAATTTTTAAGTTATGTCTTTTACTATTGGGTGATAACACGGACTTAGATAACATCTAATCTAATTCTGTGGTGATAACACGGACTTAGATAACATCTAATCTAATTCTGTGGTGATAACACGGACTTAGATAACATCTAATCTAATTCTGTGGTGATAACAAGGACTTAGATAACATCTAATCTAATTCTGTGGTGATAACAAGGAATACAGGCACAATAAGGCCCAAAAAATATGTGTTTCCGGTTTCCCTACCGACCCTAGATTTCCATACCTACGCTAAAGTTTTATTGGCATTTAGTGATAAGCACTGGTAAAGTCAGAACTCCTGCTCTAAAATGAAAAAAAAAAATGCCTTCCTACAGACCATAGCTTGTTTTCATGTAGAAACAGGAAGCACACATTTAACACACAACCACACGGGTACATATTATATTGATTTAGTTCTATCACAACACAATATATGGCTGGATGTTATATGGTGTGATGTACATGTCTATGCCTACAAACCTTTAACTTTGAGTGTTCAAAGCTGGACAACACTCTCTTACACCCTACATAACAAAACTTATCAACATAACTATCAGTTCTTGTTTCTTCCCTGACAATTTAAAACAAGCACAAGTACAAACCATTTCAAGAAAAAAAGGTCAGATTAGATAAAGGAAAATACAGACGGGTCGGCATACTACCATCCATATCGGCGGTATATGAACCAACTCATTTTGATCAGCTCAGCAAATTTTTTGAACAAGTTTTTGATAATCTTTTATGTGCTTTTAGGAAAGGATATGAATGCCAGACTATACTTTCAAATTATTGTAGATTGAAAAAAGGATAGATAAAATGTATTACATGTATGTAGCTTCTATTCTTATGGGTCTATCAAAAGATTCGAACTGTCTGCCACATGAAATTCTACCTGCCAAATTATCAACCTATGGTCTTGGGCTGGTCTTTCGAAACCTTCACTGAATTTATTAAAAAAAAAGCTATTTAAGAGACAGAACTCAACAAATTCAAATTCCAACTTATTCCCACAGACAATATTTATGAAATGAAGTAGAATAATCACTCAATCACTCATTGTTATCCAAAAATCTATAAACTAAATATAATTTTTAAATGGGAGAGTGGTTCTTGGGGGGGGGAAAAAGGAAGCTAAACAAGTGTGAACTCAAAATCGATAAAACTAGGGCAAAATTTGAATAAAGGCGTGGAGAACCTTGACCAAATGCAATGAAAATAAGACCAGGTGTTCCAGAAGAGTAATAAGTGTCATCTGTATTAAATATAGGTCAAATCGAAGATATATTACATCCACAAAGCGAGGACTGGGGTAATGACAACAAAGCCACACAAATGATCATAATCAACAACATCGACCTTCATATAACAAACAATTGCATATTTCCCAATTAGATCATGATGACCACCATTAAACTTTCCAATAGTCTTCATTAAGCTGCATCTTTGAAAAACTTGTTTTGTAACTTTGCCCGTCAGCAGTATACATCTATGATATAATGATGAAGTCATGAAGTTTTTGCAACAAACTCTTGGATACCGACCGAATCAACAGCAACATGGGAAATCGCGGATGTTACTCTCAAGAAAGGGAAAGATTACATTCGGAAAATAAAAATAGTCACGGTTATCGAAGCGTAGTTTTAAGAGGTCTCTTTTTATTATGTTAGGTTAAGATTGAGGAAAGTGACTGAGGTAGAAAAGCCTTTAGTGTCCTTAATTTCAAGCTCGGGAGGGTATATAAGTTCAACGCGGTCTATAAAATTCTTGCTATTTAACGACAGCATATCGTCGATGTTGAATGTTAAATTGAAGGACTTGCAGTTGGCTAAGGTTTTTGCTTTTGTCTTGATTGCTTATTAATAAATTTCGCTTCGTATGAAAACATAAAAAAATCGGCCATAGGAGGGGCCTAGTTTCTACCCCTAGGAATGCTTATAGTTACCAAACTAAATAACAAACTCAACCAGGAACTCATTTATTCTCACAATTTTATCATACCTGGTATGTTTAATTATTTTAGCCTTTGTAGTGATTTTCACAAAATATGCCCTAATTTTGTTTTTGGAAAAGAAACCTCTCATAATAATAATAAAAAAAGTGCGTTCCTTCTATATAGTATGAGAAATTGTCGTGTAAAGGGTCAAAAATTTATTAAAAAAAAAAGATAAAAGAAACATTTTTTTAAGAAGAGGATGTTTTAGATCGATCAAATGGCTTTTTGAAATCTTCAAATTCCACATACAGAGTCACAATACGATTGTAACCCTGATTATGCCGTACTAAGTTTTCATAAATGCTTGATTGAGTATATTTATAAGGATTCTGGTGAAATTCCGGAGTCCAATACAAACGAGGCAAAGATCTGTATCCTTATCATTAGCCCGAGCTTCCCCTGGCCCTAACACCAGACTTAGACATTTTGACATATGTACCAGACATATACATGTTAAAATGTCTAAGTCTGTTGTTAGGGCCAGAGGAAACTCGGGCTACCTTATCACTAATGAATGTTTGGAAAGATTGTAATACAGAAGCGTGATTGGCTAGTATTTCAACTTTCAAATAATTGGAAAGTGAATAGGTAGGGTTACCTTGGTTATCAAAAAATGTCACTGTTACATTTCGGTAAAAATGCCACCCCAATGATGATATAAATTAAGAATACGAGTCGGGCGGGGACATTTTTACCGAAAGTTTATCTAAACCCCCAAAACGTGTAAAAATACTCTGAACACCTTAGTTTAGGTCCAAATATACCTGTTATTTATGAATGACGCCATATTTTGAGTAGCCTCGAAGACAAGACAGATTCACTGCGCCGGGGATTCTCTGAACTTTTGGTGTTTCGAATTTTCCGGGCCATAAACTTGTTAACCCTTGGTTGTGGTAATACGGTTGTTTAATGTCAGTTTGAAAGTTGTATTACACTCCTGTGTTACAAGGTCTCTTTTGAATGTGGAAGAAACTAGATTTTCCATATTTCGTACCGAACAAATACAAACATCCTGAATATAATATAATCTTTTCTTTTGGTGAAAACACTCATTCAATTTACCACTACCAACAATATAACCACGCTGACGACAATACCCCATCACATTCATCTTCAACACACACAAAATCTCATACACTGGGTCGACTAAACAAAGTGAGTGCAAACTCTGACTTCAAGCACTAGCCATAGGGAAAAAGATCCGGTCACAAAACATTTCATTTAAAACCAATGACATCTCATCATCGGAACCCATGGTTGATTTCGCTTCGGTACTCACCTGCTTGAATTCTGAAGTGTTTTATCTAATATAATATTTGTTTGCCTAAGTTATAATATGTCCAACTTGTCCAAGTATGAATGTCTTTTTATGTAACGTGTATGTCGGTCAGAACCTTTAAAGATATTGTGTTATTCATTTTTGAAAAATGGCCCCGACTTTAAATAAAATATATCTTATCTTAAGTTGAAGTCCAACGGAAGCCGGGCTGAGTTAACGTTATGTGGATTGTTTCTATTTGATATTTGCTGAGGAGTGTTCACTTCAGTGCATTGCCTTTTTTTTTACATGAATCAATACCGGTTTTTTGTATCTGCTTACGTTACAACCCTAAAATGTATTGCGAACTTTGTATTTTCGCGCCACTATTTACTTCCAGCTAAATAAAAATACGAAACTGTAAGAGTTATACGACGTTTCGGAAGTGTCTAGCTCTGTATACAAAATCCAACATGGTGGGTATTGCAAAGCTTTCTATCTCATGCTAAATTAATTTTGATTTTTTGTATGATGTATGGAGAAACGATGCGTATTCTGTAACATAATTGTCAGTTCATAAGTTTCTTCAAATTTACCTGAATTGTGTTTCTATTTATTGTCAATAGTTTTCCATCTCTCGCATCGATCATATCGAGGCAAGAAACCGGCTTTGTCATGCGGATGACTTGACAAAATATACTGAAAAATGTAGCCATTTATTGTTGTAATAAGTGTATTTTACTAACTTTTGGTGCTTAATCGACTAAACAGCGAATCAATGTGTCGGGAATGAATCCCGAATGAAGGGGGAGGGGTTCGTTTGGGCCTACTCGGGTGTTTCGGTAAGTTAAAACGAAAAATGCTGAAGAATATTGGATCGTAAAACAGCAACACAGACAAAATAAAGAGATGTAAAATACAGAATCAAAACGTTAAGTCAAGTGCCAACCGAAACGGTAGTTTGGAACTATCGAAACAGTTTGTATGGAAACGATCGCGAGTATTTATTCAGGTTTATATATAGCTGCGATAACGTAGCTTTCTGACGGGAGATTTTTTTTATATATTGCGTCTGCGTCGTCAGAGCTCCGGCGGGGCAGAGGAGCCCGTGTATTACTATTAGTTCTAGTTTATATAGTACTAATATTAATACCCGTCCTCCTCTGCCCCGACGCAATACATAAAACAATCTCTCTTCGTCAGAAAGCTACGTTATCGCAGCTAGGTTTATAGTGCATGGAATTTGTTGGGGCTTGCTCAACCACCGCAACAAAAATGATGCTGTTTATAGTATTTCAAGATTAATGTAAATTTTAACCATTTGGAAAACACTGGGTAAACAATAGTACACGTGCATGACGATGATATGTCAACACCCGATATCAAGACCAAAAGATATTAATTAACTCATGGGAAGACACTGATATATGATCAGACAACTTCAAGAAGGTCGTATATTAGGAGCATGAAATGCAGACTGATGTGTTTTGTTTACCGACCTCACCTGTACATATCACGTGCTAACAGTAGTTCACAAGCTCGGGGTCGCTACAACTTTTGTTGTCGGGCGAGTTACACTCTGCCAGGTAAATTATTTCACAATACAATAACTATGAAAATAGTGGTTTGTAAAATACTAAGATCCCTATAAAATGCAAGTGTATGTGCGTGCACGTAATACGGCATACCATGCAATAGCCTATGGTTACATATATATACATGAGATGTAAATACATGCGTATAAAGCTGGCTATGGAATGATGTCCAGAGTGTACATGATTGAGAGTAATTTTGTTCCATAAAAGAACAGTAAATTGACAATTTAATATAGTAATTGAATTTATTTTCATTGTTTTTTGTATAGTAAAGAAAATATCTGTCATGGTATAAATTCTATCCCTCTGCAAAAAGTTCCGATTTTTTAAAGGTAGATAACTCATCAGAATCAAAATTATTGTAAAATGTAAAATAAATGAATTATAAAGACTTTGTGTGTATTTGGTTCAATTTTTCACTCTTTTTGTATGAAACTCTGTCCTGTTTGCTTTTTAGCTTGAATATAATAACTTTTATCCATACAATTTCAATAAAAATCACTGTGTAACATGTCGTAGATATTTTATGATAAATAAAATAGTTGTAAGGTTGATTAGCAATGCTTATTTTCATTATTTTATTGTTGTAATAGTCTTGAATAATGCCACACACTCAAAAAATGTGAAAGTGTTTTTTTACCAAAAAATCCTCAGTTTATCGGAATGCTTCGATTTTCATAAAATCATCTCTACATAGTGACATAACCATTATGTGAAACTTTCATTGAATTCTGCTGGTTAATTGCGAAAGGTTGGAGCCTCCTTAAACATGAAGTAGATATATAATATATGAAGTTGGATATGATATAGAAAAAGCCACATCATATTCTATGATGATATAGAATTCACTAAATGTATGAATCAGCAGGTGACTTGAACGTCCATAGCATTTTAGATTTTTATAACACCACATGCACTCACTGATCGTAAAAAACATCACTTTTTTCTGATTTCAAAAATATTGCAATGTCTCGATACTAAACTCCTGGTCTGGAATTGAGAACAGATTATACCAATGTACCTGGTGTTACCAACCAACTTCATACAAGGTGACTAAGTACTGAAGCTGGAGATTTCTTAGTACATACATGTATGTACAATGCAGTTTTGATTCATAATGCCTAGATAAATGGCTAATTTTCATGATTCAATTGACAAATGAAATAAATTTATTACTGATTATTACAACATAATTACAAAATTGATTACAACTTTTAATAACAATTGTAATGAATCATTGTTGGTTTTTATTTCAGTCTCGAAGATATGATTCCAGAACAACAATCTTTTCTCCAGAAGGTGAGTTAAAGTTTAAGAATAGAATGCATTTAACAAAACCTGAATCGACTGTTTATTAGGACCGTATACATTGTAATACTGTAAAAAAAAAATATGAACAACTTGTATAGATTTTAGAACCATTGCCAATGAGAATAAATATTATTGAAATAATTTAAACATAAATGTAGACTGGCAGCGCAAGGTTGGTGTTGATTTGTCACTTCAGTTACCATTGCTGTGTAATACAAATGTTTATGCAACCTGAATTTTTTATTTGATAATGTGCTTTAGGGAGATTGTACCAGGTAGAATATGCAATGGAAGCCATAGGTCATGCTGGTACGTGTCTCGGAATCCAGACAAATGACTGTGTTATACTGGCAGCGGAGAGACGAAACACCAATAAACTTCTTGATGAGATGTCTTACTCAGAAAAGATATACAAACTTCACGAGTAAGTGATTTCATATACGCCGGTTTTGGAAAAAACACTTTTTTTTAAGTAGTTTCCTATTCTTTTTAATGTAAAATAAGATGTATGTGTAAATAAAATTGACAAGAGTGATTCAACTTTAAATTTATTGTCTCATTAAGTAGGATGTTAATAGTTGAAGCATTTGCCATATGATGAAATAACTGGTTTAAAAAAAAACAACACTTCATTTTGTTACATGTATATACTGAGAGGTTGCATGAATTAACATTAATGTTACTTTTACTTACAGTGACATGGCATGCAGTGTTGCCGGAATCACATCAGATGCTAATGTACTTACGAATGAGTTAAGATTATCCGCCCAAAGGTACACATATTAGTGAAAATTGTTTTCAGCTTACCTATTTTGTGGAGCAAATGAAAATAGAAATGATGAGCAACAACACCACTGAATCCGGTACAAAATGTAATGTTTGATTTACATCCTACGTGCTGACATGTTTCGGCCAAAGGGAGGCCGTCATCCGAGCACAGTTACATGATGTTTGCAACTAGGGTACAATGACAATGACTCTTTCCAAATTTCGTTTCTTGGAAACCTAATAATTTACTTTTGATTACGGTGACTTCGCCGAAATTGAACCTCCACATTTTTTTGTAAATCATGATTCTGTCATCTCATGTTTACGGATGTACAAACAAAGGAACGTTTTATGATGTGCAATAACTTGACACGTAAAAGAAGCTTTATAAGGATAAAATTAAGATCACGTTTTTAGCCTAGTTACCGGTATACACTTTAACCTTTTCACTGTACGGTATTAAACTCATTCAACCCTCAGGACACATTCAAACTCTTCCAATTCAGAGGTTGGAACAGTTCATTATGAAGTTTCAGGGGTGAATGAATTAATATTGCCTTGTATGTATTATAAAACAATACACTTAAGTGTTAGAAATTAGTGCAGGTTTTATAATCAGTTTATTGCCACACATTGATTTATATGTTAAAAGTATATGCACATCTGACATGTCTTTATAGGTCAGTACCTCTTCAATAAGACGTACTAGAATTAAGCAGCTACATGTTCTATGAGTTCCATCAAAAAATTTAATGAGTCTAGGACCTAAAGTCATGGATGTATTACTGTTTGTTTTTGGAAATAAACTTAATATTATTTTGGATGTAATCTTCTGTAATAAATGCATTAATCATTTCCTACGTTCGACACAGTGAGTACTCACTATTAAATGTTGCTTCTTTCAGATATATGATTGCCTACCAGGAGCCCATGCCTTGTGAACAATTGGTTAGCTCTTTGTGTGATTTGAAGCAGGCCTACACACAATTTGGAGGTAAGGGGTCAATTTTGGGATCATATGTCCGATGAATATATGACTCATTTTGCGGCCGCTAAGAAGGTATAGTGAACCACATTATTCTAGACATTTTGGTTTCATATGATCTTTTGCTTATGATGGCATTGATGCAGTATACATTTCTCTTAATGTTAATTGTACACTACTGTGGTATGTTGAGTTATGACCATTTGGGATTGCTTGCTTGATAAGGTCTGTTGGGTGTTATTTGCCTTGCTGTGAAAATAGCACTGCTATGTTATTGGGCCTAAATTCTGCAAATAAATATTGGAGCAAAGGAGACACTTTTTGTGACCCCCACTCACAAGTATTTTAACCTGGGTCCCACTACAAATTCATAAATGTTATCAATTATAAATGCCTCCCTGTCTCCCCATTTATATCTGGAATTTTGGCCAGGCAAACGTCCATTTGGAGTGTCTATCCTATACATGGGATGGGACAAACATTACGGATTCCAGCTGTATCAGAGTGACCCCAGTGGTAACTACGGAGGCTGGAAGGCTACCTGTATTGGCAACAACAGCGCTGTAAGTACTTATACAGAATGCTCACAGTAAAGTTGTTCAGCATGTGGCTTACTGGGATTCAGAGCCATCAAGGTTGTGCAAGTAAACAACCATGACCCACTTTCAAGGTCACAGGAGTCAAATCTTTTTTTGATATTATGTTTTTACCGGCAAGGAATTGGAATTATTATTTCTTTAAAATACTTTCATTCGGTTTTAAGCGATTTCACCAACTTCATCATTTGTGTGTCAAAAAGAGATTTTGATGTTGATACAGTCTTTATTTAGTATTATCCTTTTTGTGTTGATCAGAATGCTGTTTCCATGTTGAAACAAGAGTACAAGGAGGGAGAGATGACCATGAAGGAGGGACTAATGCTTGCTGTGAAAGTTTTGAGCAAAACTCTGGACATGACCAAGCTGACAGCAGAGAAAGGTAGAAATGTGAATTCTAAAGAGCTTGTAGTTGGCAAAGGATTGAGGGATTCACAGTAAATAATATTTAGGGTTCTGAATCAGTGTGGATACCCTGTAGAAGTGACCTTTGAATGTCTGTTAACAAATTCTTCACTGACTGATGGGCCTGAAACGATATGCATACCTCCCAATAGGATAGCCATCATGTATCCTGGTACAATGCATACCACGATACACACTTCTGCTTAAAAATTCTCAATTGTAACATTTGAGCAAAGGAATTTTCCAGAATTTTGTCAGTGTTTTAATAGTGAATCCTATCAAAATGTATTTTTTGTACAAGTTTTGATTCTTTGTTTACGCCTGCACAGTGGATCACATCTTACTGAAGGATTCTTAAATAATATGTACATGTGTACATTGTTTTTTGAGTTTGATAAAATATACTATTATAATTCAGCAATGTTAGTGTTTTGCTATACAGGCAAAGAAAAGGATTCAATACACAAGAAAGTATCATGATATGAATCCATAAAATCATTTTAGCCCTAAAATTTTGACAACCTCAGACTTCACATGTATATCTTAATCAGTAGACTAAGGTGCCCTTTGGTATTCACATTGTCTTTGTCTATCCATTCATAAATTATTCGCCAGCTGATATATTGAGCTCTGACATTCTGAATGCTGTTGAGACAAATCTCCAAGATTGGAGCGATTATTGTCTCTGGACTTAGTGGGCACATGTGCAGAACGAAGAAACTTTATAGTAATAATTGAATGAAATAAGCAAAAGTATAAATTATATATTATATAATGGGGGGGGTATCCGTGTCTCACGGCATGACTGATAAATGAATGTAAAGTAGTGAACATGATAACACAATTCTATACAGGACATGTTAAACTTTGTCCACCTACCGACAGGTGTGTATACATACATAGACCAGCCTATGTTAGTGGGACAGATGTAGAGAAGATGTGTTTGACAGTGTACTGTATGTGTGGAGTCAAGCCGTGAGAAACTAGGNATTCAAGGCTGTCTGCATCAGCAAGAGAGGAGGGTTAGCTGTTCCAGTCTTAGGCATGTATCAACTGTCCATCTACATAGTAATGTCCATCCATGTTCAAACAGAACATATTTTCCTACTAGATTTATAGAGTTTCCTTTATATTCATACAAAGAAAGTTAATATAGGTTTCAGATCTTTTGAGGGAGCAAGAGCATTTTGAGATTTGTATCCATAATTTTTCAGAACAAATATCATGACCGGTTTGCGCAGTCGTTAAGCTGTCTGTTTTTCAATCGAAGAAGTCTGGGGATTCAATCCTCATAGATCTAGAAGAACCCAAGATTTAAAAAAAAACAACATATTATAACATAAGGATTTAATGTCCAAAATAAGTTGTATCAGCCTTTCTGACAATAACAACATCTGTTGGTCGTGATTGTGAAAGACATTTCAGATACAAATTCTTTTCTTTTATACGAAGTACAATTTTGTTAATACTTTTAATTTGGTGGCACACCTTGAACTTACTGGATAGTCTACAACATGTTATCCACAGGCTCCCGACTGGCGGAGACATTTTTGCCTATAACTTGTTCTATTGGTAATATACTTTGATATCAAAAGACGCCAGTGGCAGTCATGGCTTCTGGTTTTGCGAAAAACGTTTTGGCAGTCATTTCTGTTCTATTATTAGTTTTGTTCTTGCTTTGTGGTAAATATTACTAAGCAAATAGCCTGTGCTGATAACGCAATATTACAAAACTAGTTTTCCGTCATCCAAGATATCTCATAATCCTACTTGCTTTTGCTTTACATTTTTCAGGGGATATATAGGGTCATGCTCATTTTGAGCCCTTGCTTACCTGTCTGTGTTTAATATTTACTGAAGCAGTTGAAAAAATCAAAATAGGTTTAAAACCAGTATTGATAACCGAATGATACTCCTGTGAGTCTCTCTAAAACTTAAAAAAAGTTTTATGAATGTTTGATGTTATAAGGTAGGTCAGTGGAATTCAGGAGGGAGTAGACAATCTGAGACCAAGACATTAAAATTAAGTTTTTAACTATTGATTTTCCAAATTCTTGTACCGGTTTCTTCGTTGCAGTTGAAATATCCACATTAACACGAGAAAATGGCAAGACGGTGATCAGAATCTTACCAGCAGAGGAAGTGACAGCCCATATTAAAACACATGAAGAAGAGGAAGCTAAAGAAGAAGCAGAGAAAAAGAAAGACAAATAAACTTGTGTAGATGAATGGACAGATGGAAGACGTTTTGGAACATTTTGGGTCCAGTGTGCTAAAACAGCAATGTGATTCTTCATTGGAGACTCCATTGATCAATAGTAAAGATGGAGAATATTAACTTAAACGATTCTTTCAGAATAACACAGGATATACTTTAATGTAATTGTTCATCTTCTGAAGGAATTTATGCTGATATAGAAGCAATGGCATCAGTCTTAGATAAATTCCTAAGGAATACTGAGAGATCCCTCACAAGCACTAGGTCGTGTTCAAGGTGTAAGTGCTATTTGTTAAAGGAAAGTGCTAATTGGTGATGTATATTCTATACTAGGTTCTATTAGTTAAAGGGATGGAGGACTGTTTGAAAGATTCATTGATGAAAATAAGAACCAAGATTTATTAATAAAAAGTTTGGTTATGTTCACAGTTACTACTTTAACTTCGCTGAAGATACTGTGATATGGACATTATGTGACAAACTTTTCAAGTAATAAATAATTTAAAGAGTCTGCATTGTAAAGTTGTTTTTGATTTTATGACATTGGGAAAAATCTTATTTTTCAGTTTTCTTTTTGACTACTGAAGACTGTCATTGTGAGCAGAGATAATTAATTAGAACAATCTTAAGCTCGCCTATTCAGGAATTGTAGGATGGTGGTTGGAGGGTACTAATGTAGCCCCCCTTGCATCAGTAACAACACCAGTGTAGCAACATACAACATATGAAGATACCCGGTACATATACATTTCTATCGACATTTACTAACTTATGATAACAAGAGATCCCAGAGGGATCTTGGCGCCCACCTTTGTACCATCTTCATTAGTTCTTTGTCAGTTCGATCTTTTCTCTTCTTTCCTCTAATCTGTTTGATCGAGTCATGTTAACAGTAAATGCACCTTGAGGTTCCTTGTGATCTAAACTTAATACTGATGTGTATGAAAACCAACCTTCAAAGTGAGTTTGTCATTTCACATATTTACTAGTAAAATACTTCATGTGAAAGAAATAGAATCGATCATTGCAATATGAGAAAGATCTGTTTAGTTCTTCTTTTAATCCATTTTGTTTTTATGATCAGTCTCAAAATAAAACATATACAACGAGGGATCAATGGGAACCTACATTTAAAATTTGAGAAAGATCCCTCCCGTACTTCCCGAGAAATAGCGAAAACAAACTTTCAATATCAAAATCCAAGATTGCTGCCTGTCGCCCATGTTGTTTATCCGATCAGTCTCTAAAATTGCCCTGCACCGCTAGGACCAAGGGGAACCTACTTATAGAATTTGAGAAAGATCCCTTTTGTACTTCTTGAGAAACACCGATAACAAACTTTCAATATCAAAATCCAAGATGGCTGCCTGTCGGCCAGGTTGTTTATCCGATCAGGCTTAAAAGTTGCACTGCACAGCTTAGGACCAAGGGGAACCTACTTATAGAATTTGAGAAAGATCCCTTTTGTACTTCTTGAGAAATACCGATAACAAACTTTCAATATCAAAATCCAAGATTGCTGCCTGTCGCCCATGTTGTTTATCCGATCAGTCTTAAAAGTTGCACTGCACAGCTAAGGACCAAGGGGAACCTACTTATAGAATTTGAGAAAGATCCCTTTTGTACTTCTTGAGAAATACCGACAACAAACTTTCAATATCAAAGATGGCTGCCTGTCGGCCAGGTTGTTTATCCGATCAGTCTCAAAAGTTGCCTTGCACAGCTAAGGACCAAGGGGCACCTACATAGAAAATTTGTGAAAGATCCCTTCTGTGCTTTTGGAGAAATAGCGATAACAAACTTTCAATATCAAAATCCAAGATTGCTGCCTGTCGCCCATGTTGTTTATCCGATCAGTCTCAAAAGTTGACCTGCACAGCTGAGGACCAAGGGGAACCTACATATAAAATTTGAGAAAGATCCCTAAGATACTTCCCGAGAAATAGCGATAACAAACTTTCACTATCGAAATCCAAGATGGCTGCCTGTCGGCCATGTTGTCTATCCGATCAGTCTCTAAAATTGCCCTGCACCGCTAGGACCAAGGGGAACATACATATAATATTTAAGAAATATCCCTCTAGTTCTGCCGGAGAAATAGCGGTAACAAACTTTCAATATCAAAATCCAAGATGGCTACCTGTCGGCCATGCTGTTTATCCGATCAGTTTCAAAAGTTGCCCTGCACAGCTAAGGACCAAGGGGCACCTACATATAAAATTTGTGAAAGATCCCTAAGATACTTCCCGAGAAATAGCGATAACAAACTTTCACTATCAAAATCCAAGATGGCTACCTGTCGGCCATGCTGTTTATCCGATCAGTTTCAAAAGTTGCCCTGCACAGCTAAGGACCAAGGGGAACCTGCATATAAAATTTGAGAAAGATCCCTCTGGTACTTCTTGAGATATACCGATAACAAGAATTGTTTACGGACGGACCACGGACGCAGGGTGATTTGAATAGCCCACCATCAGATGATGGTGGGCTAAAAACTCCCAAAAGTTACGACATAGTTAAAACCAAGTTGAGGTATGCTACTTCAAAATCTCTTGTTTGTACCTCTTGACAGAAGATGAGCAAAAGAAGATGACAAACCCATGTTTTGCAAAAGCATGTCTTCATTTATTTATTGACAATTTAGTTTAAACATCAAAACAGACGTGACGGTCCATTTTCCAAGTAAAAATGTATTTGCATTAACATGAACCATTTGAATTTATTAAAAGTGTTTCCAAAAAAGGGATACTTTAAATTTTACAACATATTAATGGAACTGTACAAAAATTGCTAATTCACTATCTATATCACCATAAGTAAGCTTGTTTGCTAACCAAATACACAAAGGAAAAGATACATATATGATAAGCAATGAAAATGGCCCCAATAATAATACATTTTATGTATGACAAAGACTATAGGTTATTTGTTACATTGTAATTATGAGATTAATAACACTACATCGACTAGATATCCTTTTATCAACCATTTTTTTACAGTTGTGTAAATATTTAGATGTAACACAAACAAACTTTCAAATTAATCCAAAATGCTCAATGTTTGCCATAAGAGGACATTTTCATGTGATGAGGAGCACCCTATATACATGTTCATTTGCCCATCTTTAACATTTTTGATGTATAATAAAACACATCTATTATTGTAAAAACAAACAATTAGTTACCTTTATACTGCTGTTTTATTTTCAAATTTTGAGAATTCTTGGGGCCAAATTCAGATCTTGTACACATACTATCCTATCCTTCAAGATAACAAATGATTATAGCTACATACTAGTTGATTATTAACCTCCAAATCATGTGTATACCAGGACACAGAACAAGGAAACAATCTATTTTTCATATCATTTATGTATGTCATATCTTCAAAATGAATAAATTTGCCTCGTACATGTATTGATTTTAAATATATACAAAAACACATGCTCAAACATAAAATAACACATATAATACTACAATTTCGACTGAAATAGGGTCCAAATCAGAATCAGTAAAATAGAGTAAAATTCCAGACACAAATTGACCAAAATGTGTGGGTAAAAATAATTTCCACTCCAGATCCGACCTTCGTTGGCAACACTAGTGAATTTTATTTTGCAATATTTCCAGAATCTCCTGCAGTCTATACAGCAATGGTTTATAAAAATTTACAAACAGATTTCTGTTTTTAATAACATGTTTCAGTCATGGGTACTTTTAAGGACAGTTTCGTGTTGGTCAATGGCTACCAAAATAAATACAATTTTAGAGTTGTTAGATTTCACATATTGACCAGGATATGCATCAACATATTATGCCAAATTTGTGCTGAACCATAGTTTTACAACTTTGAATCAACCAAAATTTAAATGTACTGTATGCACTTCCATATTTCAGCACAAGATGAAATATTACAAGGATTAATTACCAAGGATAACAACATTATAAACAGCCAGCTTGCCCGATATACATTTTATAGTTTTTTCCTCCAGAAACACGATACACATGTAAGGGCAAAACTTCTGACAGGCCATCGTTAATCACTAACCCACAAATACATAAAACAGTTTAGCCATTGGCACATAACGTTACAATCTGTCTAACGAGTATTAAAAGTTGTCTGTATCATGAAATACACATTCGACCCAACAATAATTGTTTGTAAATTTTACTTGTCTTCAGCTTACATTTGAATCTACTTGTAAGAATGTAATCACCATATTTCAGTTTAATTATTACATTTTTGACAAAATACTTGAATTATACAAACAGACCCTCAACATTTCACATTTTGTTCATCTCCCTTATGATGAGAAAGAGAAGAGTGGAACCTGGCTAGTCCAGAAAGTTTGTGAAATCCTCTCCTGAATCTGGATTAACCAGGTTCCTCTTCTCTGTGAGAAATATCAGCACAGATTCCAAGTTTATAGTTTACTGATACGTAGATGATTTTTTTTTTTATAAAAGTGCCTTCATCTGTATTGGTTTTCATTTTCCTCCACATGCCCCGCCTTCTTTACCTTGGTCCTTGCTTAATTGTTTCTGTCGCATAATCTCAGCATCTCTGAAAATAGACATACAAATTAGAATAAAGAAACTAATTTTTGCCAATTTAAGTAAAAAAGTTCAAGGTTAACAGTACTAGAGTACAGTGTATTTAACTTAATTTGGGTAGGTGGTGGTGGAAATGTGCTGAAGTACAAATATAACGGATTACCGGATTATCATCCATCCATTTACCCCCAATAATATTAATGGGCAAACCAAACAAACGTTGCCCAAATCGTGCTCTCACATTTATATGTCTGATATTAACTGTACATTTTAGAAAAACTGTATGTAACTGCATTAATTTAAGAAAGGAATGTGTTTGTGTCCTTTTCATCTCAGTATTGCCATTTCACTGAAAGGCACCAGGAAACAAATGAAGATCATGATCACCCTTCTGACCAGGATGGTGTTCACAGCGACATGGAGGGAGCAAAACCTTTCAACCACACCAATTTGGGCACAACTTCATCCATGGCAACAAATCCATTTTTGTCCAACAAATGCAGAATGTTTTGCGACCCCTTGTTGAGGTGGGTTCCCAACCAGTCGCTATGGTACCAATGACCATCAGAGTTTGTCATACTAACCAGCAACAACTATCTTATATGAGGATTGTGTGGACAGCATCTTCATAATAGGACTATGGATCATTTGTAGGGCATTACTGAACAGATATTTTTCCATGACGTTTTTGTTTCATTTAATTATTCTTTGTCTAAACTGATACAACACATTTATTTTAGCAAAAATAGTCTAAAAACTTCTGGAACAAGAAAAAGGACAAAAATACATTTAGATGCTATTCTGTTTAGTATTTTTTCAAAATTAGGCCTTCAATAACTACTTCCCAATAATTGAGCACATTACTCTGGAAAAGTAGTTGGAATCTGAAAGTATACATTTATGTATGTATGTATGTATGTGCACCTCTGTTTCCTCAGTTCCAGACTTGTTGCCTTGT